CCCAATGGCTTCAAACTACAAGAAAGGAGATTCCATCTGAACATGAGGAAGAACTTCCTGACTGTGAGAGCCGTTCAGCAGTGTGGTGGAGGCTCTTTCTTTGGAAGCTTTTAAAAGGAGGCTGGATGGCCATCTGTCAGGGGTGATTTGAATGCAATATTCCTGCTTCTTGGCAGGGGGTTGGACTGGATGGCCCATGAGGTCTCTTCCAACTCTTTGATTCTATGATTCTATATAGCCCGAAAAAACCCACAAGAAATGAGTATATTATTATTGTATAGTATAGGATGGGGGAACCTGTGGACATGCCTTTGCCCCACAAAAAGCCCCCCAAAGCCTTTTTTAATTATTTCATTTTATATGTAATGTATTATTATTATTACTACTGGAACCCCTGGTGGCACAGTGGGTTAAACCCCTGTACCGGCAGGACTGAAGACCGACAGGTCGCAGGTTTGAATCCGGGGAGAGGCGGATGAGTTCCCTCTATCAGCTCCAGTTCCTCATGCAGGGACATGAGAGAAGTCTCCCACAAGGATGATAAAACATCAAATCATTCGGGCGTCCCCTGGGCAACGTCCTTGCAGACGGCCAATTCTCTCACACCAGAAGCGACTTGCAGTTTCTCAGGTTGCTCCTGACACGACAAAAAAATAATAATATTACTACTTGAAAGACAGCAAGATTAGTACACAGCAAACAAGATCACTATGCTGGTTGTTGTATTGGATCACACGTCGGACACTTCCCAAGTGTCTAGGACTGTGTGATGTATTGGCAAATAATGCGTGCAGATCCCTGTAGGGTGGCCTTTTGCAGCTGGCAGATGAGAATTTTGTTATTATATATTATGGGATGGGGGAACCTGTGGACACTCCTTAGCCAAAAAAGCCCACCAAAGCCTTTTTAAATTATTTTATTTTATATTTAAGATATTATTATTATTATTATTATTATTATTATTATTATTATTATTATTATATATTGTGGGGTGGGTCAACTTGTGGACACTCCTTAGCAAAAAAAAAAGACTACCAAAACCTTTAAAAATAATTTATTTTATATATAATGTATTAATATTTAATTAATATTATTATATATTATGGGATGGGGGAACCTGTGGACTCACTTTGGCCAAATAAAGCCCACCAAAGCCTTTTTTTAATTATTTAATTTTGTATTTAATTTATTACGATGATTATATATTGTGGGATGGAGCAACCTGTGGACACTCCTTAGCCAAAAAAAAAAAAAAAGCCCACCAAAGCATTCTTAAAAAATATTTGATTTAATTTTTATATAATGTATTATTTATTAATATTATATATTGTGGAATACGGGAACCTGTGGACAGGAAAACCTGTGAACCTGTTTTCCTAGTTTCCAGCAGACCTTACAACCTCTGAGGATGTCTGCCATAGATGCAGGCGAAACGTCAGGAGAGAATGCTTCTAGAACATGGCCATATAGCCCGAAAAACCTACAACAACCCAGTGATTCCCGCCATGCCACAATACAATGGCATCTTAGAATGGAAGAAATAATGACAACTACCTGCTTGGCTGAGCTTGGGTTTAAAATCATGTATCCTGGATAGCTCATGGGATTGTCTAGCATATTGCCAGCCATAGTGCTGTAATAGTGCAGTGTGACATGGAACTGCTGCTGGTTTGTTCTTCCTGCTAAGCAGGCTTGTGTCTCTCCCAGGTGGTCTGAAACTAGTCCCGGCTACTGGACAGGGGTGCTGGCAGGACGGGTTTGGACCCTGACGCAGTCAGACGAGCAGCTCTGGTACACACTCCATGACGAGGAGAAGGAGGACGGCAGCCGGGAGGAAGAGGCCCTCTCCGAGCCCCCGCTGAAGAAAGGGAGGAAACAGGCCCAGCCGGATGGGAGCCATGCCGAGACCAGTGAGCGCTCAGGCAGCCATTTGTCCGGAGAACTGATCCACGGCATGGAGGGGTTGACGCCCTCCCAGGTCCTCCAGGACTATTTCCAGTTACACATAAATCTATCTGCATTGTACCAGGGATGGTCTTACGTTGACTCACACTTCCGGGAAGTCGCCATCAAGTTTCCAGGTAGGTGAGCATTCAAGAGTGCCAGTGGGATTTGGAGCCTCGGAAAAAAAGGTTTAATTTTGGTGATTATACTCATGTATAAGTCTAGAAATTTTGATCCTAAAACCAGCCCAATAAACCTCAGTAGACTTGTCCACAGGTTAGTATGAATACTGTACCTTGGGTTGTTGTAGGTTTTATCGGGCTATATGGCCATGTTCTAGAGGCATTCTCTCCTGATGATACCTCTGAGGATGCTTGCCATAGATGCAGGCGAAACGTCAGGAGAGAATACCTCTAGAACATGGCCATATAGCCCGAAAAAAACTACAACAACCCAGTGATTCCGGCCATGAAAGCCTTCAACAATACTGTACCTTATTTTTAAAAGGGGGAACAGTCTCCTTCTCTGAATAAAGAGGCAAAAGGCAAGAGCTTAGTCCAGGCAACGTCATACTGTGGGTCTCCAACTTCCAGAATTCCTGACCATTGAACAAGCTGGCTAGAGCTTCTGGGGGTTGGAGTCCCAAACAACTGGAGGGCCGTAGTTTGAGGATGCCTGGCTTAGTCCATCCCTGGAGAACCTAAAAGAAGCATCCAACCCCTCCACTCTCTCCACAATGGCACCGTCTCTGGCCTTTTTAAATGCTTAGGGAAGGAGATGACATCAGAGACCAAAGGTTGTTTTGTGGTTTATTCGTTCAGTCGCTTCCGACTCTTCATGACCTCATGGACCAGCCCACGCCAGAGCTCCATGTTGGCTGTCACCATCCCCAGCTCCTTCAGAGTCAAGCCAGTCACTTCAAGGATATCATCCATCCATCTTGCCCTTGGTCGGCTGTTGCCAGTTTTTGCAACTCTAACATTGAGCTAAGTTATTACATTCATATCCATCTCTATATTAATTTCTTAGGAGCTCAAGTTGGGAAAATGGTCCTTGTATTGTTGAAGGCTTTCATGGCTGGAATCATTGGGTTGTTGTAGGTTTTTTGGGCTATATGGCCATGTTTTAGAAGCATTCTCTCCTGATGTTTCACCCTCATCTGTGGCAGGCATCTTCAGAGGTTGTGAGGTCTGTTGGAAACTAGGAAAATTGGGTTTATATATATGTGGAATGTCCAAGGTGGGACAAAGAACTCTTGTCTGTTGGAGGCAAGTGTGAATGCTTCCATTGGCCACCTTGATTAGCATTTGATGGCCTGACAGCTTTTAGGTGTGGCTTGTTACTACCTGGGGGGATTCTTTGTTGAGAGGTGATTAGGTGTTCCTGATTGTTTCTTCTCTGGAGTTCTCCTGTGTTTGAGATTTGTTCTTTCTTTACTGTTATAATTTTAGAGTTTTTTAAATACTGGTTGCCAGATTTTGTTCATTTTCATGGTTTCCTCCTTTCTGTTGAAATTGTCCGCGTGCTTATGGATTTCAATGGCTTCTCTGTGTTGTCTGACATGGTGGTTGTTGGAGTGGTCCAGCATTTCTGTGTTCTCAAATAATACGCTGTGTCCAGGCTGGTTCACCAGGTGCTCTGCTATGGCTGACTTCTCTGGTTGATTTAGTCTGCAGTTTCTTTCATGTTTGCCTTATCACCAGCCTTACCACCAATGGAGTATCCATTGGTCTGTAAAGTCCAGTTTAGGTGGTTCAGTTCATCTTGGAGGATTCTTTTTGCACTGTCTGCCAGGGCTTTAATGGTGCTTCTTTTTTTACTTGGGTGATGGTTGGAGTTTATCTGTATGTGTGGGTTTTCTGTAAACGGTGTGACCCAATTGTTGATCTGGTTTGCAGATGACTAGGACATCTAGAAAAGGCAGTTTTGCTTCATTTTCTTTTTCCATGGTGAATTGGATGTTTGGATGGATTCTGTTAAGGTGGTCCAGGAACCAGTTTAGTTCTTCTCCTCCATGGCTCCAAATGGTGAAGGTGTCAGTTTGAAAAACTAAACCATATAGTGGGCTTTTTGTTGCTGTTTCCAGGGCTTGTTTTTCAAACTATTCCACATAGAAATTTGTTATGACTGGGCTGAGAGGGCTCCCCATGGCTACTCCATCTTTCTGTTCATAGAATTCATCGTCCCACTGAAAGTACCTGGTGGTAAAGCAATGGCGAAACAGAGCTGTGATGTCTTAAACATCAGGAGAGAATGCTTCTATAACATGGCCATACAGCCTGAAAAACCTACAACAACCCACCGCATTTTCTTGGAGATGACAGACGTCTGCCTCCCATAGGCTTGCTGAACAGACCCTGTCTGGAATGCTGGGCTCTGGTAGTTTGGAGATAATCTGCCCTCAGCTTATTTGCCAATTCTGCTATTTCAGGCTGTATGAATAAACTGAGGGTTTGACTGGCTGCCTCCTTGTGCCCCCTCAGGAGTCCGGGTGCTGCGACAGGACCCCGTGGAGTGCCTCTTCTCCTTCATCTGCACCTCCAACAACCACTTGTCCCGCATCACCAATATGATCCAGCACCTGTGCCAGGCATTTGGGCGCCGCCTCTGCCAGCTGGACACCAAGACGTACCATGCCTTTCCTTCCTTGCAGGCAATGGCAGGTGAGGACATTATGGAGAGGCTCTTGGGAGGCAGAATGGGCCAAGGGGAGGGCCAACTAAAAAACCTAAACAAGGGTTTTTTGCTCTTCACACTTCCCTGGGACCCCATCCGTTGCTAAAGAGGTCTCTTAAATCATAGAATCATATAGTTGGAAGAGACTCCCAGGTGTCATTCAGTCCCACCCCCTTCTGCCAAGCAGGAAAATAGGACGGTTTGGTGTATTTTAAAATGGTGTATTTTAATATTTTGATAAATGTTTTTTTAATGTTTATGTATTGTATGTGAATTTGTGTCCCGGTATTGAATGTTTGCCGTGTATATGCTGTGCTCTGCCCTGAGTCTCCTTCGGGGTAGGAAGGGTGGAATATAAATGTTTTAAATCAATCAATCAATCAATAAATAAATACAATCAAAGCGCTCCTGACAGATGGCCATTCAGCCTCTGTTTAAAAACCTCCAGAAAAGGAGACTCCACCGCACTCCCAGGCAGTATATTCCACTGTCCAAAGAGCTCTTACTGTTGGAAGATTTTCCTAATGTTTAGGTGGATATTTTTCCCCGAAATTTGAATCCTTTCTTCCAGGTCCTAGTCTCCAGAGCAGCAGAAAACAAGCTTGTCCCTTTTTCAATGTGACATCCTTTCTAATAATAATAATAGTAATAATAATAATGGCAAAGAAAAAAGTTTGGATTATTGATGTTGCCATACCAGGTGACAGTCGCATTGAGGAAAAACAATAGGAAAAGCTCAGCTGTTATCAGGACCTCAAAATCAAACTGCAAAGGCTCTGGCAGAAACCAGTTCAGATGGTCCCAGTGGTCATTGGCACACTGGGTGCCGTGCCAAAAGATCTCAGCTGGCATTTCGAAACAATAAACATTGACAAAGTCATGATCTATTAACTGCAAAAAGCCACCTTATTTGGATCTGCACACATCATTCGAAAATACATCACACAGTCCTAGACGCTTGGGAAGTGTTCGACTTGTGATTTTGTGATACGAAATCCAGCATATAGATCTCGTTTGCTGTGACAATAAAAATAATACAATTTTTTTATATTCTGCCCTTCTCCCCTAGGGGACTCAGAGCAGATTGCAGCATTTACAGCAGACATAGACAAATATCCAATGCCTTTGCAATCATATACAATGACACACAAACAAAGGCAAAGGCTTCTCCCTTCATTTCCAGCTTCTGGAAGTGGTGCTCATCTCTGGCTCTGGGAGGTACTTTTTCTCCATTTTCAAGCTGAGGAGTCTGCGTTGTCACCTCCCCAGAGCCAGAGATGAGCACCGCCTCCAGAAGCAGAAATGAAAGGAGAAGCCTTTGCCTTTGTTTGTATTTGTCTGTCTCATTGTATATGATTGCAAAGGGATTGAATGTTTGCCTATGTATGTAAACACTGTAATCCGCTCTGAGTTCCTTAGGGAAGAAGGACAGTATATATATAAACTGTATTATTATTGTTATTGTTATTATTATTATTATTATTATTATTTGTTAAGAGGTAAGGTGCAGTACTTCTACTGACTTGTGGATAACTCGACCTAGTTTTTTGAGGTTTTAGACTAAAACATTTACTCACACATTAGTGTGTATGTGTACATAGGTAGGTAGGTAGATAGATCGATAGATCGATAGATAGTTAGTTGTATTTCTTTATGGATATTCTCTGAATCTGTGTTTTCCTCTTATTTCATGATGGGCATTTCTTCCAAATGGGAACCTTCTGTTCTGTTGCAGGAGCCGACACTGAAGCCCGCCTGAGAGACCTGGGCTTTGGGTATCGGGCCCGGTTTGTGAGCGAGAGCGCCAGGGCCGTCCTAAAGACTCTTGGTGGTGCGGCTGGCCTTCAGCAGCTGCGCACCGTCCCTTATGAACAGGCCCGACATGCCTTGTGCACCCTCCCTGGCGTGGGAGTCAAGGTGGGTGGGAAGCTGGGGCTTTATTCTGCTCCCTGTTAACGATGACTCCTTGAGGGGAGCTGCTAAATGAGAGGGCCCTCATTTAGTCTGGGGGTATGTGGAAATCATCATAGTGGGATTTTCACAATGGGATTGCATGGATAGGGTAGCTTGAACTATGACCATGGGAGATATAGTAGCTAGTAGGCTCCTTGGAGATTGTGGGGCATGGTGAGTTGTAAATGTAATTTTAATTGTATTTTAATTGTGTTTAAGTCTATATCCACACATGAATGTTCAATTTTTTTAAAAAAATCTTGTAATGGCCTAAAGGCCCAGGTTCTGTCTGACCTTGGAAGCTAAGCATGGTTAGCCTTGGTTAGTACTTCGCTGGGAGACCATCCATAAACATTAGGCGCTGTCGGCTGTCTTAAGAAACTGGCAAAACCACCTCTGTGTCTTCCTTGCCTAAAAAACCCGAATGAAATTCATGGGGTTGGCATAGGTCTTCAGATTACTTGAAGGCACATTCAATTCTTGTATTTGTTTTGTTTTAATTCATTATTAGATTGTGTGGTTGTTTGTCGCCTTGAGTCCCTAAAGGGAGAAAGGTGGGATATAAATAAAGATAATTAAGATGATGATGATGAGGAGGAGGAGACCTATTGGGGATATTGATAACAGTGTTGGGGAAAGTTCCTTTTTTGAAACTGTAACTCCTTCAGACCTCCAGGCACTGCTTCTGCCAACAGGAAAATTCTGAGATTTGGAGACCCTAAACCTTCCCAATCTCTGGAAAATACACAGGGCTATTTTCACATGTGCTGTGTTTTTGTCTCCTTTGCAGGTGGCCGACTGCGTGTGTCTCATGTCGCTAGACAAAGCTGAAGCGGTGCCCGTGGACACGCACATATGGCAGGTGGCCAAGCGGTACTATGGCCAAGAGTTGGGGATGGGGGCTCGCAGCGTGACAGAGCGGGTCCATCGGGAAATCGGTGAGGGCTGTTGGAAGTCTGCCTCCTGCTTTCTTATGAATCATAACACAGAATATTTTTTATTCCTGAGTTTCAGTTTATAGACCAATCTTAGAGTTAATCTTTCATGTTGGGACTAGTTCACTGTGACATTTTGTTAGTGACATGCGCGATCTGTCCCAGAAGTAATGAGAATGATATCAATAATTATGGCATGACAGTTTATTCCCTTCAAAATAGGCTACTTGCAATTGAATACTGTGATCCCAATGTTGCTGCTACTCTTCATAGCAGTGGAGGAAATCTTCACTTGAGATGTAGTTCAAAGCCCTTGTTGCAGCTGCCTAGACATTTCTAATTGTGCCAAAATAATGTCCTTTGAGATGGGTTTTGAGCTTGGGAACAGAAATTGCATGGAGCCAAATCAAGGGAAGGATTCAGAACAGCCTTCACACTATGAGCTACACTGGTGTCAGTTCTTGAAGTTAAAGGATGCTTCTCCAGACTCCTCTGAATTTTTGCCTGCGACAAGACACAAAAACTATAAGCACCTTGCTAACATATCAACTGCTACAAAAGTGCGGACTCAACTAAGAATTTATATCTGGTTTCTACCTCTGCTTGTCTCAATCCACACATCCCTTTCTGTGCTGCACCAAAAAATCATTCTCATTACTTTTGGGACATGTCACATATCAATTGAGCTATGTATGCAAGGTGACTGTACATTTAGTAGTGGTGCACACTGTGTTTACACCATGTTGTGTCTTGCAGCCATGCATTCTGGTTGTCCTTGTGGTTGTGCAATTTACTTGCAATTACACATTGCCCAGTGGATCCTAGTCAATTGACATATCTTGCATCATGTTGTAATTTTGCACAGGATTTGCGTAGCAGTGGGCAGGCCACATGTACAGGATAAAATGATGAAAAGGCTCTAATGAGATCATTTTATCCTGTACATGTGGCCCACCCACTGCTATCGTGATTGTGTTTATTGGAATGTTATTTTCTTACTGTGTCTATCCTTTTTTTCCTATGTAATTTTGATTATGTTGATTATGTTGCTTGTTGTATATGTTTTGGTTTATTTTGCTGTAACATGTTGTCTGGGCTTGGCCCCATGTAAGCCGCTCTGAGTCCCCATTGGGGAGATGGTGGCGGGGTATAAATAAATATTATTATTATTATTATTATTATTATTATTTGTGTAGGGCTGGTGGAGCATATATCCATTGGTGAATGAACATTGTTTCCCACTCTTTGTCAGTGCAGCAGAAATTGCAAAGCATATCTATGTTTACAGCAATGGAGTCTTTGTGTGTATACGCTTTGGCAGAACAAGTTTGGTGGGGAACAAAATAGCCATTCTCTCACTTACTCTGATCTCAGGCTATTTAGGACACTAATATCTTCCACTCAGGAACCTATAATGATCTCAAGTGGTCTATAGTAATAGAAACACATGACATATATTATCTGTGAAGGAAATGCTGTCCAGCTTGGAAGCCCAGCTTGTTTCTTTCCAATTGCCTGGTAAACCTGATCTCCTGATTGTTTTGCCTTTAGGGAACTTCTTCCGGAGCCTGTGGGGACCCTATGCTGGATGGGCTCAAGAGGTGAGTGGCATGGGTAAAATGTTTTCTTTTTTCTCTCATCATATGTTGATTTGTACACAGGCCAGTTGTGTGTACAAAGCAAGAAGATATATGCCATGCTGTGCTAATATTATAATATATTATATACACATATAATATTGATAATAATATTCTAATGTAATACAATATAATACTACTAATAATACAATATAATAATTATATATTTTATATTACATGTAATATTCCTAATAATATTACAGTATAGTGGTATAGTACAATGTAGTAATATATAATAATAATATTGTGCTGTGCTAATATTATAATACATTGTATACACATATAATATTGATAATAATATTCTAATGTAATACAATATAATACTATTAATAATACAATATAATAATAATATTTTATATTACATGTAATATTACTAATAATATTACAGTATAGTGGTATAGTACAATATAGTAATATATAATAATAATATTGTGCTGTGCTAATATAATATATTGTATACACATATAATATTGGTAATAATATTCTAATGTAATACAATATAATACTACTAATAATGCAATATAATAATTATATATTTTATATTACATGTAATATTACTAATAATATTACAGTACAGTGGTATAGTACAATATAGTAATATATAATAATATTTTGCTGTGCTAATATAATATATTGTATACACATATAATATTGATAATATTATAATGTAATATAATATAATACCACTAATAATGGAGCCCCCGGTGGCGCAGTGGGTTAAACCCTTGTGCCAGCAGGACTGAAGATCGACAGGTCGCAGGTTCGAATCCGGGGAGAGGCGGATGAGCTCCCTCTATTAGCTCCAGCTCCTCATGCGGGGACATGAGAGAAGCCTCCCACAAGGATGATAAAACATCAAAAATCATCCAGGCGTCCCCTGGGCAACGTCCTTGCAGACGGCCAATTCTCTCACAACAGGAGCGGTTGCTCCTGACACGACAAAAAAAAACCCCCACTAATAATACAATATAATAATTTTATATTTCATATTACATGTAGTAGTACTAATAATATTACAGTTTAGTGGTACAGTACAATATAGTAGTATATAATGCTAATATTGTGCTATGCTAATATAATGTATTGTGTGTACATATAACTTGTAAGCCGCTGTGAGTCCCCTGGAGTATGGACTGGTTGGATCTTCTTACGGCCCAAGGCACTCAGAATTTTCCTCCAGCACCTAGTCTGTTTTTGCCTAGTTGCCCACAAACCTCACAACCTCTGAGGATGTCTGCCATAGATGTGGGTGAAATGTCAGGAGAGAATGCTTCTGGAACATGATTATGCAGCCTGGAACACTCACAGGAACCCAAACCAAACAAACAAACAAACAAAACAAACTTCTAGTAGAAGTTGACCATATTAAGACCTAACCGTTTTCTACAAGGAGTTTACCATGGAATCACCTTGAAGTACCTAGAGGGTCCTAGAGTGAACATATTAGTCACCTTCACAAAAGGTTAACCCCAAAAATGTGTAGAACTGACTGTAAATGGCTTACAAAAAGTTACATATGTACGTGTCTTGTTTTTTGCATTAGGCAGTAAAATGTCGTAGGATGGCCCCATATGAAGTGCCCATATAAGTGTGTTACATCATTCTCCTTTTGCCTCTTGATCCATTTCTGTGGGAGGTTGCTAGTTTGTGTGCAATTCAGGGAAGTGGCCCTACAGTGAAACATATGGTTTCCTTCCTCTAAGCAGCTAGCAAAATACCCTGAACTCCTTGGTTGGCCTATGTCTTCTCTCCCTAGAAAACGTATTCCCCCTTGCACTCTCAAGTCATGCAGACTGTTTCCAGGCTGATCTTTGTAATCATTTTCATAATTAGGCCTTACGTTCATCCATCCGCAGGTTCTCTTTTGTGCCGACCTAAGGAAGTACCAGGAGTCGCCAGATCCGGATGCCAAAAACCGCTGTGCCAAAATTGCCAGGAGCAGCAACTCCACCTTGACCTAATCATTCCCCTCCCAGCCCAGTGTGGCCTGTGCATCAGACAAGTAAGAAAACTATTCCTTCTCCAGGGCCGGAGCTGGAGAGGAACCTCCACGTTGGGAGCAGGGCGCCGTCTGAGTGATCGAAGAGGGTCTGAGCGGTTTGTGTTGTGGAGAGTCGGTTTCGGCCGTTGTGGTTGGGTTGTTTGTGCCCCAGCAGTGGCCGTTTGTGGTATAAGCTTGTTGTGTAGCTGCAAAGTATCATAGAATACTTTTTTATCTGTCGCTTATGTCTTTTGCTTTATCTTTTGGTACAGTATTAATGTGTTGCGGTCCAGTTTCTAAGGAAGGCCACGAGAAGCTTGTCTTCTCCTCCTCCTCTGGACTTGACCCATATATTTAGTCATTGGGCAAACTTGGGCCCTGCAGGTGTTTTGGACTCCAACTCCCACCATTCCTAACAATCTCAGGCCCTTTCCTTTTCCCCCTCAGCCGCGTAAGAGGGGAAAAGGAAGGGGCCTGAGGCTGTTAGGAATGGTGGGAGTTGAAGTCCAAAACACCTGGAGGGCCCAAGTTTGCCCATACCTGAGCTAAAGGACGGCATGGTTACTTCAATTAAAAAAAAAGGCAGGCTCTTTCATTGATTATATGTGATGTAAACGTCCATATTTATATAAATGGCTGTGTATATGTTCATCTGTTCTCTTGATGCAAAGTCTTTGCCCCGGAATGGCATCCATTTCATATGACAGAGCCTGACTACATGTGGACAGACCAATTTCTTTCTGAAAATAAAACACTAGGCCTCTCAATGGAAAATAGAGAATTCCCCATTGATAAAGGAATAGATCGTGTTGTCGAAGGCTTTCGTGGCCGGAATCACTGGGTTGTAGGTTTTTTCGGGCTATATGGCCATGTTCTCGAGGCATTCTCTCCTGACGTTTCGCCTGCCTCAATGGCAAGCATCCTCAGAGGTAGAGAAGTGGGCTATATGGCCATGTTCTAGAGGCATTCTCTCCTGACGTTTCGTCTGCATCTATGGCAAGCATCCTCACTACCTCTGAGGATGCTTGCCATAGATGCAGGCGAAACGTCAGGAGAGAATGCCTCTAGAACATGGCCATATAGCCCAAAAAAACCTACAACCCGATAAAGGAATTGATCATCGTGTTGTCGAAGGCTTTCATGGCCAGAATTACTGGATTGCTGTGAGTTTTCTGGCCTGTATGGCCATGCTCACACTTGCCTCAAGCAGACAAGAGTTATTTCTCCCACCAGGCAGAAAGCAGCCACGCTTTGAAGCTACAAGGCCATTAAATGCTAATCAAGGTGCAATCAATTGCAACATACACATTTGCCTCCAACAGACAAGAGTTTTCTCCCAACCTGGACATTATTCCACAGATATATAAGCCTCATGTTTCTAGTTTCCAACAGACCTCACAATCTCTGAGGATTTTTTTTTCATGTCAGGAGTGACTTGAGAAATTGCAAGTCGCTTCTGGTGTGAGAGAATTGGCTGTCTGCAAAGACGTTGCCCAGGGGACGCCCGGATGATTTGATGTTCTCATCATCATTATGGGAGGCTTCTCTCATGTCCCCGCATGAGGAGCTGGAACTGATAGAGGGAGCTCATCCGCCCCTCCACGGATTCGAACCTGCGACCTGTTGGCCTTCAGTCCTGCCTGCACAGGGGTTTAACCCACTGCGCCACCGGGGGCTCCATTTATGAGGATGCTTGCCATAGATTCAGGCGGAACATCAGGACAGAATGCTTCAGGAACATACAGCCCGGAAAACTCACAGCAACCCACAGTTTGTCATCGTTGGCCTGAATCATGTACTGTATCTCTGCCCTTCAGCAGACATTCCTCTTTTAGAGTATTTTCAGTTCAACTAAAGTAAGACACAAATGCAATATATACTAATGTATAAGTCAACCTTATGTATAAGTCAACGGCAAGTATGGAGGCCAAAATTATGGGTTGTGATATGATCCATGTAAGCTGCCCCGAGTCCCCATTGGGGAGATGGTGGTGGGGTGTTAAATAAAGATTATTATTATTATTATTATTATTATTATTATTATTATTATTATTATTCGAGACTCATTCTGTGGAGAGGGAAAAGCACCTTTGCTGGCATTGCCACATTGAACGTCAGCCATTCCAAAACACCCGAAGTGGGACCACATCAGAGAGAATAGAAGAAGGTCAGTGCTTCTTTTAGGTTCTTCTGGGACAGATTAAGCTCTTGTCTTTTGCCAGAGAAGGGGGTCGTGCCTTTTTATAGGAAGTAAGATACAGTACTTACATTGACCTGGGTTTTTGGGATTGATTTTTGTTTACCAGAATTTGTAGATATATACATGAATATATAGGTAACTCTAGAATAACACAAATAGAACAAATTTAAATCTCACAGTGTTGTTGAAGACTTTCATGGCCAGAATTACTGGGTTGCTGTGAGTTTTCCAGGCTGTCTGGCCATGTTCCAGAAGCACTCTCTCCTGACGTTTTGCCCACATCTATGGCAGGCATCCTCAGAGGCTGTGAAGTCTGTTGAAAACTAGGCAATTGGTGTTTATATATCAGTGGAACAATTTTCAGGGTGAGAGAAAGAACTCTTGTTGAGGTAGCATTTGTGACTCAATTTTTAGTATGCTGTAGCCAAAGCTATCCACACTGAAGATGAGAGAACTGGGTTGCTGTGAGTTTACCAGGCTGTGTGGCCATGTTCCAGAAGCATTCTCTCCTGATGTCCATTTTCTAGCATTCTCTCTCCTAAATGGGAAAAGCTCAAACTTGTGCTTGCATCTCCTTGTCAAAATAAGTGGAATTTTAAAGGGAAGGGAGATTGGAGTCACGCATAGCGTGTGCTTTTCCTTATCCTCTTCCTTTTGTCTTGACTGTTTCTAGACTGTAAACTACATTGGACAGAAATATTATTAATTTTTAATCATTTTCTAAAGTGTTTTATCTATTTCTAGGTGCTGTGTCAATAAAATAAGAAATAACGATGGCTTGTCCTTTCAGACTCTTTTTTCTTTCAGCATTGTTCCATTATAATCCACCAAATATCCAATTCAAAGTGCTGGCTTTAGCCTATAAAGCCCTGAACGGCTGCGGTACAAATTACCTGTCCAAACAAATATCCCTCTATGAATCATCACAGAAGTTAAGATCTTCTGGGAGGCCCTGCACTTGGTCCCACCATCTTCGCAACTGGTGGGGATGAGAGACAGGGCCTTCTCAGAAGAACTTCCTGACTGTGAGAGCCGTTCAGCAGTGGAACTCTCTGCCCCAGAGTGTGGTGGAGGCTTCTTCTTTGGAAGCTTTTAAACAGAGGCTGGATGGCCATCTGTCAGGCGTGATTTGAATGCAATATTCCTGCTTCTTGGCAGGGGGTTGGACTGGATGGCCCATGAAGTCTCTTCCAAGTCTTTGATTCTATGATTCTCAGTGGTGGCCCCCTCGGCTGTGCAACTCCCTTCCTAGTGAGATTCAATCAGCCCCTTCCCTCCTTTCATTTTGCAAAAAAGTGAAAACTTGGCTTTGGGAGCAAGCATTTGGCCCAGCATCATTATCTGTGCAATACAGTTGGAATTGACACTGGATTGATAAGTATTATTATTGACTATCTGGCTTTGGATCTATGCACAACAGTCGTCTAATGTTTACATATGTTGTTTAAAGTAAAGGTAAAGGTTTCCCCTGACATGAAGTCTACTCATGTCCAACTCTGGGGGGCAGCGGTGCTCATCTATTTCTAAGCCGAAGTGCAGGCGTTGTTGGTAGACACCTCCAGTGTCATGTGGCCAGCATGACTGCGCGGAGCGCCGTTACCTTCCCGCAGAAGCAGTACCTATTGATCTACTCACATTCGTATGTTTTAGAATTGCTAAGTTGGCAGAAGCTGGACCCAACAGCAAGAGCTCACCCCGCTCCCTGGATTCAAACCGCCAACCTTTTGGTCAGCAATTTCAGCAGCTCAGCGGTTTAACCTGCTGCGCCACCAGGGGGCCCTAATGTTATTTTAAACTATTGTTTACTTGCTTTTAATTGCTATTGTTTGGACATAGAATAATGCCAATTATGTAAGTTGCCCTGAGTCCCCTTCGGGGTGAGAAGAGTGGCATATAAATCTCGTAAATACATTTTTAAAAATCCAGCTGCTTTGGGGATCCTTTGCAGCTTTGCCCCACCCCACCCCCTCACTGGCCCATTCATACACGAATGAGGCAGATAAAGCCACATGCATTTCCTTCCTTTTTTAATACAAGAACAAACAACAAAATAGAAACAACAAGTTAGAAAGTTCCTCTTGAGTTCAAAGGCTGGGGAGAGAGGACAAGAGAGCAGAACGCAGAACCGTGACCTTCCAGACCTGGGAGGAGAGACTAAGCAGTGGGACAAATCCTTGTTTTGATGGGCAGGTCATGTCCAAGTGAAGACGGAGTCGATTTCCAAAGGGCAGCCTTAATTAGATACTTGTATTGGACACTTATGTCATGATATGTCAACTCTCAATCGCACTTTTCCCTGCTGTTTCAAGCAAGCTGAAATAAATCTGTGTGTTGATGTATAGGTGACCATTTTGCTGTTCGTTTTTTTTGTTTAAGCCGCACAATTTAAAAGCTGCAAAACCGCTGTGGCTATGGGCAGTGGCCAAAAGGTATCTTTTCCCTTCCTCACCCACATTTGGCTTCCCCAGCTCCAGTTCAATTTGAACCAAACTGAAAGTCTGTGGCATGATATCCCACCCACCTTCAGCCCAACTGTTAGAGAAAAGAGCAAGGGCCTTTCCAGATTGGCCCTATATCCCAGGTTCTGATCCCAGGTTTTCTGCATTGAAATGGATTATATGAGTCTCCACTGTCAGATAATCTGGGATAAACAAAAAACCTGGGATATAGGCAGGGGCGGCTCAACCATTACGCAAAATAAGCATTTGCAATATAGTTTATTTTGCCCAGGGGCGCTCTTGAGGTGCTCTTGGGGGAAAATAGACCTTGACATATGCGAGTTGTAGTTATTGGGATGTATAGTTCACTTACAATCAAAGAGCATTCTGAACTCCACGAATGATGGAATTGAACCAAATATGGCACACAGAACTCCCACGACGAACAGAAAATATATATCAGTGATTGGTGGGGGGAGGGGGGGAATACTGTTTGCTTACTGTTAAAAATTACCCAGGGCCGCCTCTGGATATAGGGCCTGTCTGGAAGGACCCTAAGTCTTGCAGGTGACTGAAAACCTCTACTTGGGGAGACACCCCCTTATCTTCACTTGTCAATGGCCAAATGATTTTGGAAGAGGCACAGCTGGTACTCAGCAAAGCAACGCCAATTTGGTCTAGATCCCTATTTCCTGACAGTAGACAAGCCCAGCTTCCCTGGCCTGAGTCTTTTTTAGGAAGAGCTACAAACAGGTAGCTGCTATCTTAAAACAATTTATTCTTACTCTGTAGATTGTACCAACAGCCTGGAGATAACAAGGAACTGCAGGCCTTTCAATGTGGTAGTATCCTTTTTGTAGGGGCTGCACGTTGTTTTGGATTGTAGGGATGGAAAAGAAGATTTGATGAGGGGAGAACATTAAATTCCTGAATCTTGTGTTCATGAGCAGCTGCTGAAAGGGGCCTAAATAAACCACTGGGTACTTCTTTCTAAGAGCGGTTCCAGACAGCACCAAATTGCGTGCTTTAGTTAGGGGCAAAAAAAAAAAAAAAGCTCCCAGGACCTGAGAAGATGTCCAGATACAGACCTGTTGGTCCCGGGATTTTTGCCTCCGTTGTCCCTACTTGCTGCTTTGTTGTGAGATTTTGGAGCCCCTAAGATTGGCCGCTGTGGGACTTCCACTGGAATTTTTGGCGCTTTTTTTACCTTTAAGATGCAAAGATGCCAATCATTCTATAAGTTCCGTTCCTGGGTTATATAAGCTGCAGGGCCATCTGTGCAGACAGGGTATTGTTCCTGATCTATACACATCTGTTCCTGATTGTTCTTATTGTGAAAAGATGTACAACATTGACTGGAGGGTGAAAACTTTGTCCTGGCAAGAGAAAATGTGCCCTCCACATGTTTCATGAAGTTTCTGGCACACAAACAACGTTTTTGCCTTCTACTCAACTGTCACTTTCATTTTAGGAGCCGACCAATTAGGAGCAAGCATCTAAAACCCGGGAACAAACCCAAATAAAAAAATCCCATGATCCCCAATTGCAGGGACATACAAGGGTTGAATAAAAAGTAATGCCTCCACCTTCGTAACTCCTCAACAGATGGCAGTACTGGTATGTGGTAGGTACTGGCTTGTTTAGTAGACTCTCCCCTACAGTTCCATTTTGGCGGGAAGCCTTAGCATTGAATGGTTGTGTTGTTAACGTGTTGTTAACGCCCTGCGCAGACGGTCGGTCAATAAAACTTAAGCAACATGCAGTCATTGAATTCTTATATCACTTCACTTCACTTTATTTCTTAATTAGTTGCTCTCCATCAAGGTGCTCCGAGCGACTTACAATTTAAAATAGCATTTCACAATATAAAAACATTCAACATAAAAACATTCAACAGTGACTATTTGGCTATTTGTTCCTGATTGGTCAGTTCCTCAACATCTTTAAACTTACTCGCCCAAGGACGCACAGCACTCACATCAACACAATCACCATAAACAGCTTGCATTCTCTGATGAATTTCCTTTGGGGTGACACTTTCTAATGTCAAGAATTCAATGACTGCACGTTGCTTAAGTCACTTTGACTGACCGTCTATGCAGGGTTCCATACTTCACACTTTAACAACACAACCATTCAATGCTAAGGCTTCCTGCCAAAATGGAAATGTAGAGGAGAGTCTACTGAACAAGCCAGTACCTACTGCATACCAGTACTGCCATCTGTTGAGGCGTTATGAATGTGGAGGCATTACTTTTCATTCAACCCTCGTACATTTGACGATACGAGTTTTGGGGTCAGAATCAGGATATTCCTACACCTGAAAATCATTTTTTGCCATTTGTAGTGATTGCTTCCGCATTTACAGGGAATGTTGTTTGGCCACCCTCCTGTTTGCTGCAGGAATGTAGTCTGGACGGTCCTTAAGACCTGTCTATATGCATGAAGGGGCAAAGAAGGTGCTGCGATTGTTGACTCAGACTAAAGGCTAAGGATAGGGTGGAACACAGCCAACAAGAAAGAGAGCTGTGACTGGCAGGAAACCATTTGGTGGTGAGAAACAGGAGGAACATCTCCAGGGAGCTGTGTCGCTGATGAAGGATCATGCCCTTGCCTCCAATGATTTAGGAGAATGTGGTTGGTCAAGGGAAGCTTTCCTTTCCCCTGCAGTAGGACTCAGCCGCACTTCACTGGGAGGGATGTGTCGGCAGTCCCAGCCGCTTCCCTGGCTCTACTTGTGGCAACATGGGAAGCCTGGGCTGGGAGCTGCCCACCCAGTGTGCGAGTTGGTGCTGGCACTGCCAGGTCTTCCTCTGTTCACTGGGGAACATTCAGTCCTAAGTCTGAGGATGAGAACCGTTTCCCAAGGATTCCTCGCTGCTACTGGATGCCGAGCCTGGGAAGGAGGAAAGGATGGGTCAGGGCTGGGTTTATGAATAAAACATACAACAACGACAACAAAGGAAGAGTGATCCAGCCTCTGTTTGACCAGAAGGTTTGGTCTGACGACAATACTCTACGGACAAATCGTCATTGGGTTTCATAGCTATGCCCAGTTCTGGGCTCCACAATCAAGAAGGATATTCACAAGCTGGAATGTGTGTGATCAAAGTGGTAAAAGGTCTGGAAATTATGCCCTGTGGTTAGGCTTAGAGATATGGGAATGGCTTAGGGCTGAGCAGGGGCCAACTTGGGCCCTCCAGGTGTTTTGGACTTCAACTCCCACAATTCCTAACAGCCTATTGGCTGTTAGGAATTGTGGGAGTTGAAGTCCAAAACACCTGGAGGGCCCAAGTTGGCCCATGCCTGGCTTAGGGAGTTAGGTATGTTTAACTTGGACAAGAGAAGGTTAAGAGGTGACTGGGTAGCCATGTATAAATATCTAAAGTGATGTCATATTAAGGAGGGGGCAAGCTTGTTTTCGGTTGCCTACAGACTAGGACACAGAGCAACAGATTCAAACTGCACCTAAACATTAGGAAGAATTTCCTGTCGTTCAAAGCTATTCAAGAGTGGAATATGCTGCCTCGAATTGTAATGGAGCCTAGAGATGTTTAAGAGGCTGGGTGGCCATCTATCTGGAGCGATGCAAAGAACAAGCCTCTTGAAAAATACTTTGAAAATATTTTAAGAAAATACATAAACAAAACTGCGTTGTTTTTAGACATCACAGAGGAGTTTATATCTAAATTACCTAGAACTGTGCAGCCAAATCCTTCACTTGTCCTATGTGTCTGTCTGTGGGTATATGTGGGCATAACAATTAAAATCTACTTTAAATAGCCACAGCTTCCTCCTTCAACCATAGTTATATGATAATATTAAGTAAAGGTTTCCCCTTGACATTAAGTCTAGTCGTGTCCAGCTCTGGGGGTTGGTGCTATCTCCATTTGTAAGCTGAAGAGCCAGCGCTGTCCGCAGACACCTCCAAGGGCATCTGGCCGGCATGACTGTATGGAGCACCATTAGCTTCCTGCCAGAGTGGCTACCTATTGATCTACTCACCTTTGCATGTTTTCAAATGGCTAGGTTGGCAGAAGCTGGGGCTAACAGCAGGAGCTCACCCTGCTCCCTAGATTCAAACTGCCAACCTTTCAATCAGCAAGTTCAGCAGCTCAGCACTTTAACCCACTGTGCCACCAGGGGCTCCCTAATGATACCATTAGCACTAATAATAATAATAATAATAATAATAATAATAATAATAATCTTTATTTCTACCCTGCCACCTTCTCCCCGATGGGGACTCGGAGCGGCTTACATGGGGCCAAGCCCGGACAACATAATACAGTAATAAAATCAAAGCATATACAACAGACAACAACAACATTATCAAAATGACAGTTAAAATAATAATAAAATAAAATAAAAATTCTAAGCAAATATTTTGCACAAAACCATGCCCTGGGAAAATAAGAGAGCAACCAGGGAGCTATGCAAAAAAAGTCTATATTTAAGAAGAAAAGGATGGGAAGGAGGTCAACTGGGAATTATTTCATTATTCAGTATCTATTTCAGTTTTGCAATTCCAAATCCATGCATACATATGTTGGTATGTGTGTATGTGTATACATATAAACAAAATATTTTGTTCAGTGTTTACTGCTTCTCAAGATTTCTTGTATATCAAGGGTCATTGATCCAGAGTCTTGGCAATTAACATTGAATTCACAGACATTGAATCCACTGGTGGTTGCAACGCTGCCTCTCACCATTGCTCTCCTGCATGGCTTGTCCAGGCCCCTCTTGGCTGGTTCCCAGCTGTAGTCTCCTCATATGCCGGACCACCGCAGTTGCATTGAAGGCTTGCTGCATAAGGAGGAAGGCAGGGGAAATCAGAGATGTCAAGGTAGATCACATTCTGTGCTAAACCAGGTAAATGCTGAAAAAGATTGATACCTTTTCTCACTCCCTACTCACTCCTGCCAGCAATTTGTGGCAAGAAAAGTAATATATATTTATTTGTAGCTGTGTCACTCTTCTACGAATGAGTCTATCTTACCTCTCTGTTTTCTGCCTATTCCTGACACCAGCTGCAACATTTTATTCCCCTTCTAGCTGGGTTTGTTTTCTAATTCTGAGATATATATTTTCTTTTATTGTCCTTGAAAGAGCCAATCTTCAAACTGTAGTGTATTCAATGTGTTGTCAAAGGCCTTCATGGCCGGAATCACTGGGTTGCTGTGAGTTTTCCAGGTTGCTGTGAGTTTGCTTCTGGAAGATGGCCATGTTGTTGTTCATTCGTTCAGTCGTCTCCGACGCTTCGTGACCTCATGGACCAGCCCATGCCAGAGCTCCCTGTCGGCCGTCACCACCCGCAGCTCCTTCAAGGTCATTCCAGTCACTTCAAGGATGCCATCCATCCATCTTGCCCTTGGTCGGCCCCTCTTCCTTTTGCCTTCCACTTTCCCCAGCATCATTGTCTTCTCTAGGCTTTGCTGTCTCCTCATGATGTGGCCAAAGTACTTCAACTTTGTCTCTAGTATCCTTCCCTCCAGTGAGCAGCCGGGCTTTATTTCCTGGAGGATGGACTGGTTGGATCTTCTCGCAGTCCAAGGCTTCTCTCAGAACTTTCCTCCAACACCACAGTTCAAAAGCATCGATCTTCCTTCGCTCAGCCTTCCCTAAGGTCCAGCTCTCACATCCGTAAGATGGCCATACAGTCCAGAAAACTCACAGCAACCCACTGTAGTGTATTAGTTTGAACGGAACATGATTTAGGAAGAAATCTTATCTCAAAGGTACAAAAGTTATGCTCACCTTCCACTTGCTCTTGGCAAAATTCTTTTTGATCTGCTCACTGACCGACTGGTGGATGTTCTTGTCCAAGGCAGTGTCTCCGGCAATCCTGTACAGGAGAGGGGAATCAGACTCATTCTCAACAAAGACACTGAGGAAATTCATGTATTTCATTTATTTCAAACATTTGTACCTCGCCCTTCTCAATCCCCCTCGGGAGCGGGGAGGGGACTCAGGGCGGCTTACATCCGGCACAATTCGATGCCATTACATATAAATAATACATGCAGCAATAATATAAAACACATGAAATTGATTTTAAAATTAGTTTTAAAACAAAAAGTACATTGATGAAAAGTGCAGTAGTACTGGCTGTGTAGCCTTATGTAGAAACAAGTTCAGCGAGCACAACACAATAGGAAGCCTGTCCATCGTCCATTTTCCATAACATTATCATTATTACCATTGTCAATTATCTGCCTGGTCCCATAACCACATTTTCAATTTCCTCCTGAAGGCGAGGAGGGATGTTGTTGACCTGATTTCGCTGGGGAGCAAGTTCCACAGGCGGGGTGCCACCACTGAGAAGGCCTTGTCCCTCATCCCCACCAAGCATGTTTGCACCAAAGGCGGGGCCGAGAGCAGGGCCTCCCCAGAAGATCTAAAATCTCGAGGTGGAACGTAGAGGGAAATACGTTCGGACAGGTAAGCTGGGCCGGAGCTGTATAAGGCTTTGTAGGTCAAAACCAGCACTTTGAATTGTGATCAGAATTGGACCGGCAGCAAGTGGAGCTGACATATCAGAGGGGTGAGGAAGTATATAGACTTTACACCAAATCAATCTGATGCAGAGTTTTCTACTGCAGTGGTCCTCAATCTGAACTGCCCAATATTTTGGATTTTGTTTACCAGAAGCAAGCATGGCCAATGATTAAGGGTTTTGGAAACTGGAAACCACAGCACTAGCAAAGTCAAGGTTGAGAACCAATGGTTTCATAGAATCAAAGAGTTGGAAGAGACCTCATGGGCCACCCAGTCCAACCCCCTGCCAAGAAGCAGGAATATTGCATTCAAATCACCCCTGACAGATGGCCATCCAGCCTCTGTTTAAAAGCTTCCAAAGAAGGAGCCTCCACCACACTCCGGGGCAGAGAGTTCCACTGCTGAACGGCTCTCACAGTCAGGAAGTTCTTCCTCATGTTCAGATGGAATCTCCTCTCTTGGTTTATAACAGTGGCATCCAACCTGTGGCAATCCAGGTGTTTTGGGCATCATCTCTCGGAATTCTGTAGCATTGGATAAGCTTTTAAGGTCTTTTGGGAGTTAAGAGTCCCAAATGCCCGAAGGACCAACTGGACATGATTGGCTTCTAACACTGTGGCACAGACACCAAGAATTGGGAAGCTCTGGCCCTTAATTGGAGGTCAGCTGTGACCAGCAGTATTGCGGAATTCAAAGAGGCACGAATGGAGGGCAAAAGGGAGAAACGTGCCAAGAGGTCGGTGCATCAAGCCAATCCTGATGAGGATCCCTTTCCACCTGGAAACCGATGCCCTCACTGCGGAAGAAGATGCAGATCAAGAATAGGTCTCTACAGCCACCCACGTTTCCACCACCAAGACACTACACTTGGAGGGCCATCATCCTCGGACTACAAGGGATTGTGTAAGTAAGTAAAGTACTAACACTAGTAGTCAACAGTTCTCCAGAGGTTACACATACAATTACATATAGCTCTAAGATCTTTAGGGGAAGACTTTCTCTCGGTTCTGCCACTATTACAGGCTCAGCTGGAGAGGGACATAAAGGACAGCCTTCTCTTTTAAACAGAGGCTGAATAGCCATCTATCGGTGGTGCCTTGATTGTGATTTTTCTGCGTGGCAGAGGGTTGGAATGGATGCCCTCTTCCAACTCAATGATTCCATGATCGCTCCCACTCTCTGAACTTCCTCCTGCAGGAGGCAAGGCTGGTCCCTTCCCTGCTTTCCTCTTGCCAACTGGCAAAAACAGTCCTATTAAAGCAGGCTTTTAAATGCGTAAGCAAGAGGGCTTTTTATGGGAATGTTCTGTTCTCTTAAACAAAATTATTGTGACATTTTAAAAATGGATATGGAAGCTACCGTGGATTTCTCTGTGAGAGAAAGGCAGCATATAAAGTGCAATAAATAAATACAAAGACGCAAAGTTTAGAGCTTGCAGGGAAGTGATTATGAATTGTAAATACTTGTTATTATAGTAATAGTAAAGGTAAAGGTTTCCACTTGATATTAAGTCTAGTCGATTCGAACTCTGGGATGATGCTCATCGCAATTTCTAAGCCGAAGAGCTGCCGTTGTCCATGGACATCTCGAAGGTCATGTGGCCAGAATGACTGCATGGAGTGCAGTTATATAAATAAAGTTCTATTATTATTACTACTACTACTACTACTACTACTACTACTACTACTACTACTGTCCAGCAGAAGCGGTACCTATTGATCTACTCACATTTGCTTGTGTTCAAACTGCTAGGTTGGCAGAAGCTGGGGCTAACAGCAGTAGCTCACCCTGCTCCCAGGATTCAAACTGCCAATCTTCCAGCAAGTTCAGCAGTTCAGTGATTTAACCCACTGCATCACCGGAGGCTCCCATTATAGTAATAGATTGAGCTATTTCTTTTAAACATGATAGTGAAGGTTTCAGTATGTCTGTCTGTACATGCATGTGTATTGATCCTATTTTACTTTTATCTCTGGAATTGTCTGTTCTTCTCCTATTATTTTATCCAGTTCTGTTGTCTGCAAAATTGTGTTTAAACTATAATTTGCATTACAGCTCCTCAAAATCTCTGGCAGTAAAGCTGGAGACTGAACCCAGGAACCTTCTGCAAAACTTTACCACTGAAATACAATCTCCCCTACTCGATTTCTTTTCCTCACTGCACACCATTGCATGCAACAATATAATACAGCCAAGACATTGCAGGGATGAGATCCCAATTATTTTGGGATCAGTAGTGTTTTTAGCATCATCTACGCCTGTGTCCCTGGCATTAATATTTAGACATAATTTAGCTGCAGTCCCCATAATTGCAGGATAATTGGATTTTCCTAGTAGCACCATAAAGCCAGTGTAGTGCTTTGAGCATTGGATCATAACTCTGGAGAACAGGGTTCAAATCCCTGTTTGTCCATAGGAACTCATTAGATGACTTTGGGGGTATTGACACACTCTTGTCCTCTGAGGAAGGCAAAGGAAACTCCCTTCTGAACAATTTTTGTTAGGAAAACCCTGTGATGGGCTCATCATAAGTTGGAAAAGACTTTAAAGCAAACCACAACAACATATTTTTCTCTCTGCTATGATCCAAACAAAGTGTTTAAGGATAGATTACTCTTGATGTGGCAAGATCCAACGGTTTCTTCAAGCGTCCTGTTTTATATAGGATCTGGTCCTTTTGATAGAACATTAGAAACAAAAAGGCATAATGGCAAGAGATGTGTGATGAGTGATAGGCAGTGGAGCAATGTGATGACAACAACAACAACAACAACAACTCTGACACGAGCCAGTAAAGGTGGTCCTGGTAGTCATCGGCACACTGGGTGCAGCGCCTAAAGATCTTGGTCTGCACTTAAATACAATCAGCACTGACAAAAGTACCATCTGCCAGCTGCAGAAGGCCACCTTATTGGGATCTGCATGCATTATTTGCCAATACATCACACAGTCCTAGACACTTGGGAAGTGTCCGACGTGTGATCCAATACAACAGCCAGCAGAGTGATCTTGTCTGCTGTGGACTCATCTTGTTGTGTTTCAAATAACAATAATCGATGTTGCAGTTTCAGGTGGCAGCAGGATTGAAGAGAAACAACTGGAAAAGCTGACACAATACGAGGATTTAAAGATTGAACTGCAAAGACTCTGGCACAAGCCAGTCAAGGTGGTCCCAGTGGTGCTCGACATAYTGGGTGCAGTGCCTAAAGACCTTGGCCTGCACTTAAAAACAATCGGCRCTGACAAAATTATCATCTGTCACCTGCAAAAGGCCACCCTACTAGGATCCGCACTCATTATTCGCTGATACATCACACAGTCCTAGATACTTGGGAAGTGTCCAACGTGTGATCCAATACAACAGCSAGCAGAGTGATTTTGTTTGCTGTGTGCTAATCTTGTTGTGTTTCTAATAATAATAATAACAACAACAAGCCAGTCAAGGTGGTCCCAGTGGTGATCGGCACACTGGATGCAGTGCCTGAAGACCTTGGCCTGCACTTAAACACAATCGGCGCTGACAAAATTACCATCTGCCAGCTGCAGAAGTCCACCTTAGTGGGATCTGCAYGCATTATTCTCCGATATATCACACAGTCCTAGACACTTGGGAAGTGTCYGACATGTTATCCAATACAACAGCCAGCAGAGTGTCTGGTGTGGACTCATCTTGTTGTGTTTCAAATAATAATAGTAATACTCTGGCACAAGTCAATCAAGGTGGTCCCAGTGGTGATTGGCACACTGGGTACAGTACCTAAAGACCTTGGCCTGCATTTAAAAACAATCAGCGCTGACAAAAATCACCATCTGTCAGCTGCAAAAGGCCACCGTACTCAGTTCTGCACGCATTATTCACTGATACGTCACACAGTCCTAGACACTCGGGAAATGTCCAACATCTGATGCAATACAACAGCCAGCATAGTGATCTTGTTTTCTGTGTACTAATCCTGTTGAGTACCTAATCATCATCATCATCATCATCATCATCATACAAAAGCCAGCATAGTGATCTTGTTTCCTGTGCACTAATCCTGTTGAGTACATAATAATAATAATAATAATAATAATAATAATAATAATAATAATAATAATAATATAATCATCATACAAAAGCCAGCATAGTGATCTTGTTTGCTGTGTACTAATCTTGTTGTGTATCAAATGGTTTTTGTTGATGTTGTTGTTACTACTACTACTATCTGTCTCTCCCTGCGACTTGAGAAAGAAAACAAGTCAAATATATATGTTTTGGAAGCCCTGCTCCCTAATGAAGCCATGTATAGTTATTAACAACTTCTACATGCAAGCTTATTTAAAAATCTAATGTTTAGGAAGCCTAATTGTGCACCAGATGCAGTCATTGTGACATTATTACTCATTCATGTTTCCAGTGTTTACATTTAAACACACTGATTTTTTTCCCTTCTGCATAGACCAATTTAGGACCAGGCTGTTAATATACTAATATAATAAATTTGCATTAATTATTTCAAAAACACACTTCATTATATTTCAACATGTTTGCCCTCAAAGCAGCTTCTGACAACGGAAAACATTACAAAGCTATACTATGTATGTAAAGAAAAGCATAGGGGAAAACAAAATAAACCAGCATGTTATCAATGAAATCCTTGAAGCTAAAGGCCTCCAAGCGCATGAGCATGCAGAGAGATCATAGTGAGACAAGCTGTTGATCCATCTGGTTTGGCAACGTCTAGTGGAGTAGGTGGTTGCTCCATCTGGTCCAGTAAACGTTACCAGAGCAATGAGTAAACCCTATTCTGGTTGACAGTGGCTCCCCCAAGGATCCATAGCAGTTGTTTTTTGAACTCTGTCACTAAGTGGAGCTTTTAGGTAATTAATGATTTTCTGCAGGGAGTTGGGAAATCTTCTGAGGACCCTTCCACACATCCCTATATCCCAGAATATCAAGGCAGAAAAACCCACATTATCTGTGGACTCAGTTAATCCAGTTCAAAGCAGATACTGTGGGATTTTCTACCTTGATATTCTGGGATATAGGGGTGTGTGAAAGGCCCTGATCCTCCAGTATTTACTCTTACAATGACCATCAGTTCCCACAGGACCTGCAAAACTGCAGACATTGTGGCCAAGATATCTGCCAGTTGAAAGGTTACCCACTCCTGTTTTGAGCTGTAGTCCAATAGCATCTGCCTTAGTTAGACCACAGCAGGAATACTGTGTCCAATTCTGGGCAGCACAATTGAAGAGAGATATTGACAAGCTGGAAGGTGACTAAAATGATCAAGGGTCTGGAGAACAAACCCTATGAGGAGCGGCTTAAAGAGCTGGGCATATTTAGCCTACAGAAGAGAAGACTGAAAGGAGACGTGATAGCCATGTATAAATATGTGAGGGGAAGGCATAGGGAGGAGGGAGCAAGCTTGTTTTCTGCTGCCCTGGAGACTAGGACGCGGAACAATGGCTTCAAACTACAGGAAAGGAGATTCCACCTGAACATTAGGAAGAACTTTACAACTGTGAGAGCTATTCAGCAGTGGAACTCTCTGCCCCAGAGTGTGGTGGAGGCTCCTTCTTTGGAGGCTTTTAAACAGAGGCTGGATGGCCATCTGTCGGGGGTGCTTTGAACACAATTGTCCTGCTTCTTGGCAGAATGGGGTTGGACTGGATGGCCCACGAGGTATCTTCCAACTCTAGAATTCCATGATCTAGAAGACCACACATTCTTCACCCAGGCCCATGATACCCAGGGCGTATCTACACTGTAGAATTAATGAAGTTTTGCCCCGCTTTAGCTGTGTGCTTTCATTTCAGGCAATTTCAGACAATTGGATACATTTCTGCCAACAATGAACACAAATCACCAGACAAATGGATACATTTCTGCCAACAATGAACAAGTTTTCTGAAGCCATCAGGGAAGAAGTCTGTGCGCTTTCTTTTCAGGYGCCAGCATCCTAGGTAACCATTGTGCACAGATCTTCCGATAACCAAGCAAAGCTATGGCATCATAGGAGTTGTAKTTTGGTGAGGTACCAGCACTCTCGGCCAGAGAAGGATAGAGACATGGTAAAGCTACTACTCCCATGAGTGGGGTCAAACTGCATTAATTCTCCAGTGTAGATGTRCCCTTGGTGCAATCAGATGGAAGGCCCACTGAGTTCAATAAGATGAACTCCAATGTATGCGGATCAAACATTGCAGTCTAATTTTCCTGTTTTACAAATGGACAGCAAGAGGCAAGTGACTTATACAAAACCAAGCAACAGATAAGACTCTCAATTCCTTTACCATGGGTGATCTAGTGCCTGCTCACAAGTGAACCGCTTCTTGGGATCCCTCTCCATTAAATGCCGGATAAAATCTTTGGCTAGGAATAGAAAACAAAGGGAATAATGAYGTGAGGTTAATCACAGTTTCCCTCCCTCCAACACACAAACACACACACACACACACACATATATATACATGCGTGCACACACACACACACACAAGGGTTGAATGAAAAGTAATGCCTCCACCTTCTTTACTTGGGTTTGGATGGGAATATTTTAATAAATCAAACGCAGAAATAATTCTTAGAATGTGCTCTTTAACTACCACTATTCACTTTTCCACATAATCACCAGACAGTTGGATACATTTCTGCGAACAATGAACAAGGTTTCTGAAGCCGTCACAGAAGAAGTTGACACTCTGTTTCCGCAACCAGCGTCTCACAATTCTCTCATCCTGGGTACCCATAGTGCACAGATCTTCCGGTAGCCAAGCAAAGAACTAATGTGACCCACATGTTCTTGTGAAATGCTGATTATGCTTGATATTTCTCTGATACGATGATCGTCCTGAATCAATCTGTCAGCCTTTTGCATGTGAAACTTGGTGGTTGCTGTCACAGGACGTCCAACTCTTTGTTTGTCATGCAAGTCAGATGTTCCCACCTCAAAATCTTTAAACTTACTTGCCCAACGAGGCACAGTACTCACATCACCACAAACACCATAAACAGCTTGCATTCTCTGATGAATCCCCTTTGTGGTGACACCTTCTGCTGTCAAGAATTCAATGACTGCACGTTGCTTAAGTCACATTGACCGACCGTCTGCGCAGGGTTCCATACTTTGCACTTTAACAACACAACCGTTAAATGCTAAGGCTTCCCGCCAAAATGGAACTGTAGAGGAGAGTCTACTGAACAAGCCAGTACCTGCCGCATACCAGTACTGTCATCTGTTGAGGAGTTCCAAAGGTGGAGGCCTTACTTTTCATTCAACCCTCATATATAAGAGAGAGAGAGAGAGAGAGACTTGATTTCAATGTTCAGAGACACCAGCACTTCTTTTCCTCACCTGAATCGGATATGTCATCCCAGTAAGGAGAGTCGAATTCATACTCGGCCTTCAGGATCTGCTCAAAAAGCTTTGTGTCATTCTCATCATAAAACGGAGGATAGCCGCACAATCTGCGGACAGAAAAAAGTGGGTACAGGGCAAGTGTGACAACAAGGCCTGAGGGAAGGTATTGAAGGGAGAAATGCAGCCTGTAAATGGACCAAACAGTGTGGAGAAGTGAGGTAAATGCGTTGGAGAGGGAGAGAGATAAAAAGCAGGTTACTTCTTTACCTATATATACAGTGTGTATAGCAAGCAGACGCTGGGGCTATGTTTATTAGGTTGCCAGGCTTTTGTCTTGACACAGTACCCAGGATCCTACTAGTGACATATGACCCAGCAAACCTTCAGTTGCACCACTGCATGTGCTTAAATACAGAACTTCTTAATCTTTGACCATCTAGTTATTTTGGACTTCAGCTGACTGAATCTCTGACTCTTCGCCATGCTGAAGCCCAAAGTGCTTGGAAGATCAACATTTGAGAACCACTCAAAAATCTGTGAATCAACATTGCGGAAGGAGATATCTGTTACCTCCTTTTGCAACATTTGCCACATACAACTACAGGTGGACAGCAAGAGAGATGAGGATTTGAATGAGAGGACATCGTTCTTTTTTTAAATCGTTATTATGCACTGTCTTTTATGTTTAATTGCACTTAATGTTTTTACTTTATCAATGTATGTATTTTTACAGCATCGAATTGTGCTGACTGTATATACCGCCCTGAGTCGCCTTTGGGCTGACATGGGTGGGATAGAAATAAAGTAAATAAATAAAATAAATAAATGTAAAGATGGGCTTGAAGCTCACCTAAAGAAATGTGAAATAAACCTTGAGAACTGGGAAGCCCTGGCCCTCAAGTATTTTAACTGGAAGTCAGCTATTACCAACAGTGTTATAGATTTTGGAGAGTTGCGAACATCCTTGCAGACAGCCAATTCTCTCACACCAGAAGCAACTTGCAGTTTTTCAAGTTGCTCCTGACACAGAAAAAAAACTGATCCAGGCAATCAAAATTTTCAAAATCATCATAATCATCAAGCATATCTTACTCCCTGCAGCACTACAATTGTGAAAAGCAGCACTTGATGAACTCCTCCAGTCTAGCCATTTATGGAAGATACAGGAACCTCCTTCTTGCAGGAGAATGTACATCCCTTTTGTGGCACAAAGACAAGGAAACACAAGGCATACCACTTGGGAGACTATAGGAAGAGTAGCCCAAAATAGTATTGGTTGTGCCATTTTGAAAAAGTAGTAGCAGAGAGAGAAGAGAAATTACATCCCAAACTGAATAGTTTTAAAGAAAATGTTGGCTGTGTATTCCGGCATGTTGCATGGTTGGATTGGACGGCCTTTATGGTCCTTTCCAATTCCTTTGATACTATCAAATTTGCTTTAAATGCGATTTTCCTGCTTCTTGGCAGGAGGTTGGACTCAATGGCCGACAAGGTCTCTTCCAACTCAAGGATTCTATGATTCTATGAAACCTCTACTGCAGTAGATTCCAGAACAGTGGCCATATAAACAATCTTTTAAGCAACATGCATGGAACAGACATGTGACAAACAGGATGGAGAAGGCAAGCCATCCCTCCTTCCTTCAGGACAGACAGGAAAGACGGCCACGCTCTGCCTTTCTTCTTCCACATAGAAGCTGCCTTGTATTGAATTTTTGTCAACTCCAACTGGCCCCAGGAATGCCTCACACAGGATTCCTTAATAACTCCAGTTGTATATGACCACTATTTCCAGGTAGTCTGCCACCCAGATACTAAGCAGATCTGACTCTGCTAAACTTCTGACAGCTGATAAAATGGGATGTTTTAGGTGGGGGTGGAGGATCAGTTTAATACGTACAAGATGTAAGCTATCACGCCAATAGACCAGCAATCCACTGCTTTGCTGTAAGGCTTCTGGGCCAACACTTCTGGAGCTGGATCAGAGAGGAACCATGGAAAAAGAAAGAAGAAAATGTGGCCATTAGAAACTGAAGAACCATATTGGACCTCACACTCTTGGAAAAGAGAATTCCTATAGGTTTGAGTTGTTCACCCTTGTGTATAAGGGATGCCACTATATATATAACGGGACTTGAGCAGCCAATGGGTTAAACCCATCGCGGTGGTGCAATGGGTCAAACGCTTGTGCTGCTGAACCACTGACCTGAAGGTTGGCAGAACTGCTGACCTGAAGGTTGGCAGTTCCAGCTCCTGCCAACCTAGCAGTTCAAAAACATGCAAATGTGAATAGATAAATAGGTACTGCTTCAGCGGGAAAAGGCAAAGAAACACTCCAAGCAATCTTGCTAGCCACGGCTTTGGAGGTGACAACACAGGCTCCTCGGCTTGAAAATGGAGAAAGCACCTCCCCAAGGCCAGAGATGAGCACCACCTCCAGAAACCGGAAATGAAAGGAGAAGCCTCTTCCTTTGTGTTTGTGTGTCTCATTGTATATGATTGTAAATGCATTGAATGTTTGCCTATGTATGTAAATGCTGTGATCCACTCTGAGTCCCCTAGGGGACAAGGGCAGAATGTAAATAAAGTGTATTATTATTATTACTGATTTGAGCATCCATAGGGAAGGGTCCTGGGACCAGATCCTGCTGGATACCAAAGACCTACTGCACAACTTTTGTTTCAGGAAGAGGCTATCAAGAGGAATGCTTCCCTAATACATTCCTTCCACACAGAAAACTAGCTGGTCATGGAGAAGGACCCTTTTCCTGAAAAAGGACCCCAAGTTTTGGATCTGAAAGTTTCATCCCAACTTGTTGCCTGAAGGAAAGCTGTTTCACTTCAATGGGCTAATTTTGATTTGGTGTAGACGGGTACAGAAGAATTCAAATCCACATGAGGATTCCTCCACCTGGCTTAGTTCAGGCAAGGATTGATCTCCTCACCCACCTACCACAATCAGTATATTGAAAGCTGTGGCCCAAAAACAAAAGCACTTTCTCCAAACAACATCTTCAGTTCTCTCATCTTCTACAACTCAGCAAACCTGGTTGATTGTGAAAATCTGAGTAGGATGATGAAAAATAAAATATGCATTTTGATCAAGGTAATAAACTCTTGCCTGAATTAAGCCAGGTACACCACTTTTCCTAGATCTAACTTGGGCTTCATCTACATTGCCATATAATACTGTTTGAAACTGCATTACATTTTCAGTGTACATCAATATAATGCTGTTTATTTGTACTGAACTGCATTTTGAATGGGGCCACGGTGACACAGAGAGTTAAACCACTGAGCTGCTGAACTTGCTGACCAGAAGGTCGGCGGTTCAAATCCGCAGGACGGGGTGAGCTCCTGTTATTAACCCCAGCTTCTGCCAACCTAGCAGTACAAAAACATGGAAATTTGAGTAGATCAATAGGTACTACTCCGGCGGGAAGGGTTTTTTTTTTGTCAGGTCCGGAGCGACCTGAGAAACTGCAAATTGCTTCTGGTGTGAGAAAATTGGCCGTCTGCAAGGACGTTGCCCAGGGGACGCCTGGATGATTTTTGATGTTTTATCATCCTTGTGGGAGGCTTCTCTCATGTCCCCGCATGAGGAACCGGAGGTGATAGAGGGAGCTCATCTGCCTCTCCCCGGATTCGAACCTACGACCTGTCGGTCTTCAGTCCTGCCAGCACAGGGTTTAATCCACTGCGCCACTGGGAAGGTAACAGCACTCAATGCAATCATGCCAGCCACGTGACCTTGGCGGCATCTATGGACAACGCCGGCTCTTTGACTTAGAAATGGAGGTGAACACCAACCCTCAGAGTCAGACACGACTAGACTTAATGTCAAGGGGAAACCTTTACCTTTACTGCTTTACAAGTCTACACTGACCATGCAATGCAGTTTCAAAATGTCTTATATGACAGTGTAGATAACCTTAATATGATAGAGTTTAACATTAAATGAGAAATACTGTTCTGAACGTATTCTCCCCTACGAACCATCTAAGATGGTCTGGAGGGGCCCTGCTCTCGGTCCCACCGCCTGCACAAGCACGGCTGGTGGGGACGAGGGACAGGGCCTTCTCGATGGTGGCCCCTCGACTTTGGAACTCCCTGCTATTAGAGATCAGAACTGCCCCCTCCCTCATGACGTTCAGGAAACTAACAAAGACCTGGTTGTGGAATGCGGCATTTGACAACTGATTTAATTCTTTGCCCACATGAAAGGAGGATGATGAATGGGATTGTGATGGTGTCGGATGATTTGGCTCTTTTAACTGTGATGATAATGTTTTAATGTGTATAGTGCTGATATTTTAATCGTGTTATGAAGTGGCATTGTGTTGTTATTGTATATTCTTTGTATGTTAACACATGTTGTGAACTGGTCCGAATCCCTCTTTGAAGGTGAGAGGGTCGGTATATAAAACCTCGAAATAGTGAAACACACCAATAAAACAAGCCTGCCATTTTCAGGAAGGGGAAGTTGAATTTGTATGGAACACAGCTATTTCCTGGTTTCAAAAAGGAAAAATCCCTTGGAGCTCACCTACATAGCCAGGAGTCCCACATGCCGTGGACATGACGCTGCCTGAGCCTTCTATCTTGGATAGCCCAAAATCGCTGATCATGATCTTGGAGTCTTCATCCAGGCTGTAATAGAGCAGGTTCTCGGGCTGAATGAGTTGGATGGGAGAAGAAGAGGAGGAAAAATAGAATCAGATGCACAAAGATATCCTCAAGAGGATAAGGCAGGCATGGGCAACCTGGGCCCTCCAGGTGTTTTGGACTTCAACTCCCACAATTCCTAACAGCCTACCAGCTGTTAGGAATTGTGGGAGTTGAAGTCCAAAACACCTGGAGGGCCCAGGTTTGCCCATGCCTGGAATAAGGAAAAATATTTCTAACATATGTACATATTAAAATGCTTAGCTGATAATCTGTGTGAAACCTACATGCCATCCAAGATGCCCAGGCATTTCACTATTGAACTAAAGCCTGGTGCCGTAAATATGGGGTGAATCATGGCAACCACTTGATGAGCATCAGTAGCAAAGGACAAAATGTGCCTCGATCTGGAAAAAAAAACCATGACAACACAAAGCTCCCATTATTATTGTTTACTGCTGGCAAGGCTAGGCATGCAGTTGCTCTGAACAGCAGGTTCCAGGAGGGATGCCCTTTTCCCAGGCTCCAAATCTCACCTCTGCTCACCAATTTTAAAATGCTTCAATGGCTGGAACAGCCACAAGGATGTTATCAGAAAGACCTAGATAAGAGAATGGACAGAGAACCAAAGCAGGCTTGGATTTCCAGCCAGTCAAACAGGTTTGAGTCTCCCGAAGGAAAAAAAGATAAGGACAAAATTTGTTAAAAGGGTGGACTTGCGTTAAAACACTACTTCCTTGTGAAGGGAGTTTGGCACAATGTCATAATTGCAAACCAATCTCAGCCTGTGCCGTGATTTCCCAGGCTTTGCTTGCTATTGCAGAAAGCAGACTTGCCTTGTTTTCTTGGACCATTGCTTCTTAAACTGTGGGTCCCGACCCAAATGGGGTCCCTTTGTTGGAGTCACGAAAAAATGTGGCAAACAGCAATAATAATAATAATAATAATAATAATAATAATAATAATAATAATCTTTATTTATACCCCACCACCATCTCCCCAAGGGGGCTCGGGGCGGCTTACATGAGGCCAGGCCCAACAATTACAGAAAAACAGATATACAACATAAAAATACATCAATAAAATATACTGAAAATAATAAGACCTACAAATTAAAAAACAAAAACAAAGTAAACACACAATCTATGTATATGATAAAAGTCAGTGTTTATATGCGGAGGAAGGTGTATGTGGCAGTTTTCCGATTGGCTGCCAATTTCACAGGCCACTGTGACCAGCACGGATGACGGACCTGGACCAAACTTGGCACACATAACCCCCCATGACCCCCTTTATGTCCTGGGGAGGTTTGGAGGAGGACGGACAAGAGATGATGGGATTTGTAGCACTTTCAAACCCGTCGGTTCCCACAGACCACTGTGGCCCTCAACGAAGCCCGATAAAGACCAAACTTGGCACACAGAATCCCAATGGCCCACTCTACATCCTGGTGCACTTTTGAGGAGGACAGATCATGGATGATGGGACTTCAAGTACCTCCACTCACTTCCCAAGACTGCTGCAAACCTCATCTAATGACCAATCATGACCAAACTTGACACACAGAGCCTCCCTACATCCCAGTGCTGTTTGGAGGAAGATGGGTGATGGATGATGGGACTTGCAGTACCTTCACACACTTCCTGAAACCACAGCAACACTCATCCAAATACCAATAAAGACCAAACTTGGCACAGAGAGCCCCCATGACCAACTCAACATTCTGGTGAGGTTTGAGGGAGAACAGACTATGAGTGATGGGACTTGCAGTACCTTAACTCACTTTCTGAGACCACTGTGACGCTCTTCCAATGACTGATCAAGACCAAACTTGGCACACAGAGCCCGCATGACCCACTGTCCATCCTAGTGCAGTTTGGAGGAGGATGGACCACAGATGATGGGACTTACACTACCTTCACTAACTTGCTGAGACCACTGCAAGCCATATAAATAACAGATAAAGACCAAACTTGATACACAATTCCTTTCTCAAATAACCCAGGCAGCGCCGGGTCCCCAAGCTAGTGTAATAAAAAATCACAATCATTGAACACAATGGGCAGGGCCAGTTGCAAAAATTAAAAGTTTAAAACTCCAGGTGAGATGAGTAATGTAGTATATCTGGAGGGAGGTTCAGGTGGGACAAAACAATTATGAGGATGCCTGCCATAGATGCAGACAAAACGTCAGGAGAGAATGCTTCTGGAACATGGCCATACAGCCTGGAAAACTCACAACAACCAAGTGGCAAAAGGTTTCTAAATGCCACCCATTTACATAAAATCATGAATACACCAAATACATCCATATACTCAGGACCATTGATCAACAGGCCCATTGCACTGTCCAACAGACATTTTGGTGCCTCAAATGTTAGTCCTGTTTCTGGGTATATTTGTCCTGCTGATTCCAAAAATGGCACCAGTTTCCTCTTTTCGGCTCTAGTTTTTGATATATAGAACATATTCCATCTACTAGTCACCACCTGCTTGCCCATAGAAAACCATGATAACCATATCTAAGAAAATAGAGCTGATGCGGTCTATCCAAAGCAATTTTCTGAATGAGTTCCCAAAAATTTCCAGAAATAGGCCTAAAACCCAAGACACCAAAAAAAAAAAGTATTCTTGATAGTCTGTGTTAACTCTGCCTCCCTTTTTTAAGGCAATGCTTTGTTAGAGCATGTTAAAAAATCAGTTAGTGAGTGTGTTAACTGAAAAATGCAAAGCACGAAGCTGATTGGTTGGGTCACGCCTAAGACGCTAGCTGAACCTGGGAGTTTTGGCAACACTCACATGTTTTGCTGCGCAGGAAGTCAGTTCCTGGGCTACTAGAAGAAGGTCCCTCACATAGACACCTTTTGAATCTCTCTCAGAAGAATATTGTGTGAGTCAAGGCAACTGTTCATATGTCTGTATATATGTTGCTCTGCATAACAAAGAGTAAACACCTTATTATTTACTAATCATCTGTGTGGTGTATTTATTCTCTAGCAAAACAATGCGTGGATTGGTAAAGATGTGAACAATCTGTGATTTTCATTCTGCCACATCCTTGTGGTTAATAAACTGACTAAATAACTAAAATCAGGCCATCATCCCATCCAGTACCAGTAGTCAATAGACCAATTAATCTCTGCTTCCTTGTCGTTGTCGTCTGGGGTTTTCTCTCCTTTTGCACAGAAGGATTGAAACAGCTCTATGCTGGCAAGGACCATCTTCTCTTTTTGTTCTGATCAGCTGACAAGAAAACAGCTGTTGTGTCATCCTGCCCCTTCCTAATTTTTATTTTTCCAGTTGGAGTGAATGCCAACATACAGCCCAAAGACTTATTGTTAAAACAATAAAATGTTCTGCTTCAAAAGAAAGTATAAAGAACTTCCTCAACGCAATCATGGAAGCCTTGGCACTCCTGCACTGAAATCATTCAAATGTTTTCAGAAAGAGCAATCAACCCTTGGCATCTCCAGCTTGTGCAACACAGTGCCAACTGCTCTGTAAAGATGCCTAAGTCTCTGACGTTCAGCACGTTCCATACTACACCGTTAGAGCACTTTCATACCACTTTAACTACAATGGTTCCATCCTATGGAATTTCAAGTTTTGTAGTGTGGAGACATCCAAAGAAAGGGGGCAGGGAAAGTTCCCAACAATACAGTAAATACAACAGTTCTAAGTGCAAGCGATTTCCAATATCCTGTTCTCTGTAAAACTAAAAAATTGGGGAGTGAAAAGAAATTCATAGGCATACTTTTGGCGGGGAGCAATACCTTCATTTTGGTACCCTGCAGATGTCTCCCTGATTCAGGTGAAATCTGCACTAAAGTTTTGTAGGAGAGGACTGTATTCATTTCCCTAGATGACAAATCCAACACTTCCGCAAGTTAGTTACAACAGTAAGAAACTTATAATTGTGCAAAGGGATGTACCCTATTATTTTGGAATTTCAAGGCCATTTCCCACTTGACTTCAAACTGGACTGTGCTGCAGCCATTGCAGACAGTCCACAAGTTACAAACATGATAGGTTCTGTAGGTTTATTCTTAAGTTGAATTTGCATGTAAGACGGAACATCCTTCCTCCCCCCTCCCTCAATCTTTGAAAACATACTCCAACCCCCTGCCAAGAAGCAGGAAAATTGCTTTCAAATCACCCCCGACAGATGGCCATCCAGCCTCTGTTTAAAAGCCTCCAAAGAAGGAGCCTCCACCACACTCCGGGGCAGAGAGTTCCACTGCTGAACAGCTCTCACAGTCAGTTCTTCCTCATGTTGAGGTGGAATCTCCTTTCCTGTAGTTTGAAGCCATTGTTCTGTGTCGTAGACTCCAGGGCAGCAGAAAACAAGCTTGCTCCCTTCTCCCTAGGACTTACTCTCACGTATTTATACATGGCTACCATGTCTCCTCTCAGCCTTCTCTTCTTCAGGCTAAACATGCCCAGTTCTGTAAGCCGCTCTCATAGGGCTTGTTCTCCAGACCCTTGATCATTTTAGTCACCCTCCTCTGGACACATTCCAGCTTGTCAATATCTCTCTTCAATTGTGGTGCCCAGAATTGGACACAATATTCCAGGTGTGGTCTAACCAAGAGCCTTAATCGAGGCATTATACCCCTACTGATGCAGGCCAAACTCCCATTGGCTTTTTTGGCCACCGCATCATATTGTTGGCTCATGTTTAACTTGTTGTCCACGAGAACTCCAAGTTCTTTTTCACACGTACTGCTCTCCTTTTTAAAAACCCGTCAATCAGTTCATAATTGTGTAAAAGGTGATCTTTCTGATTTTCCGTAAGATGTATACACCCCAAACTCAGGAATATTACATAGAGGACTACAACACCCAAGATCCCTCAGCCAGAGGGAGGGAGGGAGGGAGGGAGGACTTCTTGACAGCAATGTAGCTATTCAAAGCAGATGTCCCTATAGAAGTATAAACACCCACCTTGAGATCGCGATGGACGACACCCATGTCATGGAGATATTTTACAGCGTCAAGGATCTGTCGGATGAGCTTGCTGGCATCTCGCTCAGTGTAAAAGCCTTTCTCCACTATCCGGTCAAAGAGTTCCCCACCTGAAACCCTGCAAAGAGGGAGGAAGACCACAGATGAAACCCATCCTGAGAAGAGATAGGTTAAGAAGGTACAACCAAAGGAACATCATTCATGACTGAATTGCTATTCCAAAGGCAGAGCAGAAAATAATTATTCCCATCATAAAAGAGCCCTTTTGAGATTCACTGTACTCAAAACCTAGTCGGGAAAATGTTATTTTCCTCAGTATGATTGCATTTTCCTGCTGTAGTTGGGAAAGGACTTAAGGGGTCTCCCACCACACACACACACACACACACACACACACTGGGCAATAGAAATGCAATATAGACCTGAGAAAACAATTAACCATTTTCCTGCCTGTTTATTATACTCCAAAGCAATAGGTGTCTGTCTTGCTCTGCCTAATGTTGAATCCAGCTCTGAATGATCCAGGTTATTTTTGAAGGCTTTCATGGCCACACTTGCTTTAAACCAGGCATCCTCAAACTGCGGCCCTTCAGTGTCAGGAATTCTGGGAGTTGAAAGCCCAAACAGCTGAAAGGTCGCAGATTGAGAATGCCTGCTTTAAACAGATAAGAGTGATTTCTCCCACCCTGGACAATCCATAGGTATATATACACTCCACTTGCTTCACTGCCAACAGAACTTCTGAAGATGCCAACCACAGATGCAGGCCAAACGTCAGGAGAGAATGCTACTGGAACAAGGCCACACTGCCCAAAAAAACTCACAACAGCCCTGATCAAGATTGGCTTCAAGGCATGCAAGGAAACCCAGAGCATGCCACACTCTTGTCTCCATCCCTCCCCTTCCCCATCTTCCACTTACAGCTGCATGATGAGGTAGAGGTGTCCCCCGCTCTCATAGATGTCATCCAGAGCCACAATGTTGGGGTGCTTGATCCTGCCAGAAAAAAAGAGAGTCTTTTGATGTGGGGTACTCTTGCCTCTTTAAATTGTTCTGGAAGAGCCCTTTGTTTGTAAAATATGGGGAACCATGGGCACAGTATAACTGCTTTAAAGAACTTAGAACTATGTAAAACCAGTTCAACAAAATGAAAACCAATTCAATGAAAACAGTTAAACTGCATTATATGGCAGTGTCGATGGGGTCAGAGCTGTGAACCAGAGTTAAATCTTGCCAGGTTTCCTTTAGTTTGCTTTAGGTGATTTGCCCAGCTACTCTATTCCTTATTGAGGAAAGAAAAAGGTATACTGATTAATAAAACCCATGTTACAAGGCTTTTATTGAAGTATGTGAAAGGCTATAAAATATCTCACATAATATAATTGGAAAAAAACCCTAAAACAGACACATTGTTAGAATCAGGCAAAGTTTTGTTTTGTTGTAAAAAGGGCCTTTAAACTACTCCCAAATGAGTGCTTTTGAAGCAGTAAAAACTCTGGGTTGCTGTGAGTTTTCCAGGCTGTATGGCCATGTTCCAGAGCATTCTCTCCTGACGTTTCACCTGCATCTATGGCAGGCATCCTCAGAGGTTGTAAGGTCTGTTGGAAACTAGGAAAACAGGTTCACGGGTTTTCCTGTCTACAGGTTCCCCCATCCCACAATATATAATAATATTAATAAATAATAATAAATTATATATAAAATTGAATTATGTCAGGTATTATCTGAGGTTGTGACCTCAGCAGCAACCAGCCAGGCTTTGAAGCTGCAAGGCCATTAAATGCTAATCAAAGTGATCAATTGCAAAATTCATACTTGCCGCAAGCAGACAAGAGTTCTTTCTCCCATCCTGGACATTCCACAGATATATAAACCCCACTTGGCTAGTTTCCAAGAGACCTCACAACCTCTGTGGATGCCTGCCATAGATACAGGTGAAACATCAGGAGTGAATGCTTCTGGAACATGGCCATATATCCCGGAAAAAAACACAGCAACCCAGTGATTCCAGCCATGAAAACCTTCAAACAACACAGTAAAAACTCACTTTGAAACAGCTGCAAAACTCCACTGGTAAAAAAGGCTGTGCCACTTGGGATGCCACTTTCCAGAAAGCACCCAATGGGATCTATTGAAAATCATATACATATAAAAATGTATACCCCATCCAAAGATTGAAAAAGTTACTTTTTGAACAGAAACTCCCAGAATCCTCAAATTAGTGCCATCACTGGTAAATAGTAGGAATTATATTCAAAAACGAAACTGTTCCAAGCTCCAATCCAACCTTTGATTTAGAGGCAAAGGAGAGCTACATCTACTCAGGTCTCTTTTGCTATTGTGGTGATTATTTTCTAGTTATGCTTCTATAAGAAGGGGAAAAAAGAAAGAGGGGGAAATGAAAGCCAGCAACTGAAGTTTCCCCTGCAATCAGCATCATGTGGAGATGAAAACTGAGATAAAGGGGGCAATTAAGAGATGTTCATCAAGGGGAAATTCATCACTGATCTCACCGCTTTGCTCAACAGGAAGTTATCCTGTCCAGAACAACTTGAAAAACATTTTGCAGGTCTGTACAGTTGCAGTTTCATGTTGAATTTCTTTAAAGTGTAGTTTACACAACAGAGGGGGACACAAGCTTATTACGAGGCTACATAAATCTGGCAGTAATTGTTTGGATTCTTTGTAAGAAGTGAGTGAATGAATAAGTGATCAGATGTAGAAACTATTTTAATATTCAGAGCAGAGCTTGGGATTTTTATTTTTGAATTATAGCTCTCTGGATCCTACCACTGAGAGCCTTTATCCAAAAAAAGTAACATTTCCAATTCCTTAAATTGTGCTTTATCTTCTCCTTGAATTATTCACGGGTCGTATCAAAATCCATAATTATGGCCCCAAAACATGCCCTCAACTTACACATAAGCCACTGTGGTGCAATGGATTAAACCCTTGTGCTGCTGAACTGCTGACCGGAAGGACAAGGTGAGCTTCCACTGTTAGCCTTAGCGCCTGCTAACCTAGCAGTTCAAAAACATGCAAATATGAGTAGATCAATAGGTACTGCTCTGGTGAGAAAAGGCAAAAGGATGCTCCAAGCAGTCATGCTGGCCACACAATCAGGAGGTGTCAACAGACACAGGGTCCTTGGCTTGGAAATGAAGAAAGAGCACCTACTCCAGAGCCACAGATGAGCACCGCCTCCAGAGCCAGAAAAGAAAGGAGAAGCCTTTGCCTTTGTCTGTGTATTTGTGTCTCGTTGTATGTTGTGTAACAAGGCACTGAATGTCTAAACCACCATGTCAGACTACACAGAGAAGGCACTGAAATTCACAAGCATGTGAAAAATTTCAACAGAAAGGAGGAAACCATGAAAATGAACAAAATCTGGCTACCAGTATTAAAAAAAACTCTAAATTTACAATAGCAATACAACAGAGAGGAAACAAACAAGGACATCTAATCACCTCTCAACAAAAGATTGCCCCAGGCACTGCCAGGCCATCAAATGCTAATCAAGGTGATCAGTGGAAACATTCACACCTAGCTCTAACAGACAAGAGTCCTTTGTCCCACCCTGGTCATTCCACAGATATATAAACCCTTTTTCCTAGTTCCAACAGACCTCACTGCCTCTGAGGATGCTTGCCATAGATGCAGGCGAAACGTCAGGAGAGAATGCCTCTAGAACATGGCCATATAGCCCAAAAAGACCTACAACAACCCATTATTATTATTATTATTATTATTATTATTATTATTATTATTAATAATTTTGTTTTGTTTTTATTCATGGTTTCCCACTTTCACGGGGGCTTCAGGGAATGTGGGGGGCTGGCTGTATTTCTTTCAACTTCCCTGTCCAGTGATCCTTTTGAAGGATGCAGATTTGGCGCTCTGGTGGAGCATGAAAGGGGCACAAGTACAGTTCTATCGTTTGCTTGAGCAAAAGGAGACATTGTGTACTGCCAACCTAGACTATTTTCAGAAAGGCCGATATCCCAAATCAGATAGGGAGGACATGGAAATTATAAGCACATGCATATGGCACAGGGGGCAGCTGACAGTCTGGCTATAGGTTACACACTTATGTCAGGAGACAGGTTTGCACAGGGAGGCATGCTGATGTGTATATCATTCCCAATCTGTTTTAACATAAACCAAAGCAGATCGAGTTAGATGTTCCCATCCAGAGGAGAACAAACTCATTAAAATCTTATTAATAAAAACTAGTTGCTTGTTACTTATTTCTTTCCCCACTAAATTAAGTCACAATGACATTTTACAATTGGAAATTTAATGAGGCATAATGTCATTCCGTGCCCTCACTTAATAGTAGAGGAAGCGGATCACATGGTTCAAGTGCTGGCTCACGCTATGCCTCATCTTGCTGCCTCCTGCTTTGTTGTGGGTGTGCTTTGTTGTGGGTGTCGGGCTGACAAAAAGATCGACACAAAGAGTATTGAGGGAATAATGAGGTTGACATATAAAGAGTGCATTTTGAACAAAAAACCCACAGCTTACGGCGTTCAATTTGTTAAAAGTGCCTAATTATGCTTTGGAGATATGGGACATATAGGTGGGTGGTTGTAGGCTTTTCTGGTTGCATGGCCATGTTCTAGAAGCATTCTCTCCTGACATTTCGCCTGAATCTATGGCAGGCATCCTCAGAGGTTGTGAGGTCTGCTTTTTTGAGTCTTGGGACCATAACCATTTATTTATTTATTTATTTATTGTATCAGAAGCAAACCGAGGATATAGTTGTAATGTATTTAAAAACACAAACAGAGTTTTAAACACTTGGCATGATACTAAATTTCCTTTGACCAGAAGCTGGCCACTTGGGGTGCCTCTGGTATAACTGTAAGAAGGTCCTCCATTGTGCATGTGGCAGGGCTCAGACTGCATTGTAGAAGGTGGTCTGTGGTTTGCTCTCCTCCACACTCGCATGTCGTGGGCTCCACGTTGTGGCCCCATTTCTTAAGGTTGGCTGTGCATCTCATAGTGCCAGAGAACAATCTGTTTAGTGCCTTCCAAGTCACCCTGTCTTCTGTGTGCCCAGGAGGGAATCTCTCATTCCGTATCAGCCATGGCTTGAGGTTCCAGGTTATTGTCTGCCACTTTTGCACTCTCACTTGCTGAGGTGTTCCTGCGAGAATGTAGATCTTAGAAAACTATTTTGTGATTTAAGGCATTGGCATGCTGGTTGATATTAGAACAGAGGATTGGCCAGAGATGTCACTGCCTTAGTCCTTTCATTATTAGCTGCTACTTCCAAATGGATATCAGGTGGTGCAATACCAGCTAAACAGTGTACCTTCTCCAGCTATGTTGGACATAGACATCCTCTGATGCTGCGGCATGTCTCATTAAGAGCCACATCCACTGTTTAAATGTGGTGAGATGTGTTCCACACCAGGCATGTGCAGCAGAGTAGCAAAGCGCAAGGGCAAAAGTATTTACTGCATCTGGTTGTATTCCCCAGTTTGTGTCAGTCAGCTTCCTGGCACAACCATAACTGTAACTAATTGCTACTTGAAAATAATTCCACAAGCTCTCATTTGTCATTGTTACGTAATTACCATTAACTTTGACTGATGTCAAACCTATAAAGAATCCTGTCATTCACAGTTTTACTCAGGTCTTGCATTATTGTATTTTTTTTAATGAGTTATTTTCTAATGCATGTTTTCACAGTACATCCAAAGTATGATACTCTCAGTGTAATCATTTTTGCTTCCAGAGATGGTTTGGACTTGATTTATTTTTGAACCTATTTATTTGCCTTTTTGGAACTCTTCTCTATCACTTTTCAAATTTTTTTTTCATCTCAGGAGCAACTTGAGAAACTGCAAGTCGCTTTAGGTGTGAATGAATTAGCTGTCTGCAAGGACGTTGCCCACGGAATGCCTGGATGTTTTACCATCCTGTGGGAGGCTTCGCTCATATACCCACATGGGAAGCTGGAGCTGACAGATGGGAGCTCACCCTACTCCCCAGATATGAACCGCCAACCTTTTGGTTAGCAGTCCTGCCGAGACAAGGGTTTAACTCATTGCACCACTGAAGGCAAAAAAAAAAAAAATCCCTTTCAAATAACTCACAATATTTGGCTTCTATGAATGTGTTTTACTGTACCTCCCATCATTCCCAACTGCTTGTGATGATGGGAGCTGTTGTCCTGCATGCCTGGAGGGCATCAGATTACAAAAGTTACATGAGAGCAAATCCAAACTGTTTCCTCACACTTTTTGTGGTTAAAGTAGTATTCTGTGCGAATGCAACTTCACAGTTTACACTCCTTCAATATGGCACCGTCATGACTCCAGTCTGTTTCGGTTGCATTGATGCCACACACATTCGCCATTTTTTGCAGAAAGGGAGAATATATCTTTCAAGATAAAAACCCAATCAAATGAGCAACTGTTACCATGCATGAGACCAGACTACAAAATGATTTTTTTAAGGAAGAAGAGAGAAAGGATATGGAAATGACCGACAGCAGATTTGGAGATCACTGGGTTGCTGTGAGCTTTCCAGGCTGTATGGCCATGTTCCAGAAGCATTCTCTCCTGACATTTCGCCCACATCTATGGCAGGCACCTTCAGAGATTGTGAGGTCTGTTGGAAACTATGCAAGTGGGGGTAATGTCCAGGGTGGGAGAAAGAACTCTTGTCTGCTTGAGGCATATGTGAATGTTGCAATTGGTCACCTTGATTACCACTGAATGTTATTGCAGCTTCAAAGCCTGGCTGATTGCTGGGAGGTGTCAGTTGTCCCTGATTGATTCTTGTCTGGAATTCCCCACAACTTCTGAAGATGCCTGCCATAGATGTGGGTGAAATGTCAGGAGGTAATGCTTCTCGAACATGGCATGCAGCGCAGAAAGCTCACAACAACCCGGAGATGGATATGTTTAGCTTGGAGAAAGGAAGGCTGACAGGGGACATGATAGCCCTGATTAAATATCTGAAAGGATGTCACATTGAGGAGAGGGAAAACTTGCTTTTTGCTGCTTGAAAAGACTAGGACGTGGAGCTAAGGATTCAAACAGCAGGAAGATATTCTACTGAATATTAAGGAATCTCTGATGGTAAGAGATGTTTGGAAGTAATTAGGTCTCCTTCTCTTTTTAAACAGAGTCTGTGTGGCTGTCTGTCAAGAGCGCATTGATTTGTGTGCTTTGCATGGCAGAGGGTTGGCCCTTGGGGTCTCTTCCAATTCTAGGATTCTACTTTTCTTAAAGCACCCTTTCTCAACCTAGGGGTCGGGAGGGGGGGGGGGGGGGGGGGGTGTCAAAGGGGTCACCAAAAACCATCAGAAAACATATATTTCTAACATCGAAGGCTTTTATGGCTGGAATCACTGGGTTGTTATAGGTTTTTGGGCTATATGGCCATGTTCTAGAAGCATTCTCTCCTGGCATTTCCTCTGCATCTATGGTAGGCATCCTCAGAGGTTGTGAGGTCCCAACCTCTGAGGCTGCCTGCCATAGATGCAGGCGAAACGTCAGGAGAGAACATGGCCATATAGCCCGAAAAACCTATAACAACCCAACACTATGTATTGTCGAAGGCTTTCATGGCTGGAATCACTAGGTTCTTGTGGGTTTTTTCAGGCTATATGGCCATGTTCTCTCAACCCAACACTATTTTCTGTTGGTCATGGGGGGTCTGTGTGGGAAGCATGGCCCAATTCTATTGTTGGTGGGGTTCAGAATGCTCTTTGATTGTAAGTGAACTATAAATTCCAGCAACTAAATCTCCCAAATGTCAAGTTGTTTTCCCCAAATTTCACCAGTATTCACATTTGGGCATATTGAGTGCTCGTGCCAAGTTTGGTCCAGATCCATCATTGTTTGAGTCCACAGTGTTCATTGGATGTAGGTGAACTACAGCTCCAAAATTCTATCAGCAAGGCGATACACAGTTCAACAAACTCAAGGTCAATGCCCACCAAACCCTTCCAGTATTTTCTGTTGGTGGGGTGAGTTCTGTGTGCCAAGTTTAGTTCAATTCCATCATTGGTGGAGTTCAGAAGGTTCTTTGATTGAAGGTTAACTATAAATCCCAGCAACTACAACTCCCAAGTGACATAATCAATCAACCACACCAGTATTCAAATTTGGGCGTATCGGGTGTTTATGCCAAATTTGGACCAGTGAATGAAAATACATCCTGAATATCAGATATTTACAGTACGATTCATAACAGTAGCAAAATTAGTTATGAAGTAGCAACGAAAATTATGTTATGGCTGGGGGTCACCACCACATGAGGAACTGTATTAAGGACTCATGGCATTGGGAAGGTTGTCTTAAAGATTGAAATTCTCAAAATTTCAGAGCTTCCACAATGGCCAGGGTAGTTCTGGCTGTTGTCATCTCCAAAAGGATTCCCCTTTTGAGGGGTGCTGCACCATTGCCTGGATAGAGAGAGTAAGAGGAAGGCAATGAGGAGCAGTGGATACCCACTTGTGTAGCACTGCAATCTCGTTCTCAATGTTGGTTTCCTTCCCTTCGAGGACCTTCTTTGCAATGCACTTGATGGCCACCAGCTTCTGCGTGGACTTCTCTTCGGCCAGTACCACCTCTGAGAAAGCACCCCTGGAAGACAGAACAGATAGTGAGGAAGTAGGCATGGACCAAAAGAGCCACCAGAAGCAGGTTGCATCTCCAGAGATGCCAGGTATCCAAGCAAACCCCTCAAGAGTTTGCAGCTCCATAAGGCAGAGTTGTGGGGTGCAACTGGTTGGACAGGTAATCTCAGAGGTGCAGAATGAAGTCCCTGTCCTGTTCTGGCCCTGCCATCCGGTTGGTCTCGGTCCCTCCCCATTTCACCCAGCTGAATCTCTCACCCAGCCACAGTCACCAAGGCAACCTGCAGAATCTCCGCTATTTATAGCAGAACATGTGAGAGAGATGGCACCGGGCAGCAGGAGAGAATGTGCCAGGGGGAAGGGGATGGGAAAAGGGAGATGCGCTGGGCAAGGACTCAGAAGAATACAGCCAGGGAGGAGGAGGAGGAGGAGGAGGAGGAGGAGGGAAAGGACAACAGGTGTATCGACAAAGGCTTTCATGGCCAGAATCACTGGGTTGTTGTAGGTTTTTTGGGCTATATGGGCATGTTCTAGCAGCATTCTCTTCTGATGTTTCGCCTGCATCTATGACAAGCATACTCAGAGGTTGTGAGGTCCCAACCCCTGAGGATGCCTACCATAGATGCAGGTGAAACATAAGGAGAGAATGCTTCTAGAACATGGCCATATAGCCCAAAAAACCTACAACAACCCAGGACAACAAGGTGCTTCATCTCAAGAAGGAGAGGGGGAAGAGCAAGAACATGGAAATCTAACAAAGCCCTTCAGCATCCGCAGAAGGCAAGGAGTGCATCTACACCAGGCATGGGCAAACTTAGAAATGGAGATGGGCACTACCCCCCAGAGTCAGACACAACTAAGCATAATGTCAAGGGGAAACCTTTACCTTTACTTAGATGTACCCAAAAATTACACAATGGGAAATAGTAGTAAGCCTGGATCTGGAAATAAGAAGGAGGTCCCCAACAAAGAGATTCTTGCATCCACAACCATGGACTGATGCTTCCTTGTGTGTATAAGTATCCATTATGCATGCATGCATTTGTACATGTGAACATTTTTTATTTTCTCTGCAGGGCTTGAATGTGCTTTCCTGGAGAGTGTAAAAGCTGACAAATAAAGGAAGCTGCCCTCCCTGTTTATCACCACTTCTTGTGATTACTGTCCTCTGGCATCTCAGCTCCATCTATGACGGTGATAACAAGGGGGCGGAGGAATGGCATATGTTCAAGGCCGAATGCGTCCTCCTTCCTCCCCCAAGCGCATCTCTGGCACAGGAAGATGGGTCGGTTATCTATACAGGCACAGAGCACTCAATCAAAAAGAGCACAGGAGAGAACAAACTGTGTCAAAACATTGGTTGCCCCATCAGAACCAAGCAATCAATAATTCTCTGTGGCCCACAAAGCAGGGGTGAGGAAGAGATAAATTTCCAGATGTTGCCACACTACAACTCATATCTTTATTGTATCAGAAGCAAACCAAGGGTAGAGTTGTAATGTATTTTAAAAAAACACAAAGTTTAAAAAACTTGGCATGATATTAAATGTCATTTGAACAGAAGCTGGCCACTTGAAATGCCTCCGGTGTCGCTGTAAGAAGTTCCTCCATTGTACATGTGGCAGGACTCAGGCTGCATTGTAGTAGGTGGCCTGTGGAATGCTCTTGTCCACACTTGCATGTCCATGGACTCCACTTTGTGGCCCCATTTCTTAAGGTTGGCTTTGCATCTCGTGGTGCCAGAGCGCAGTCTGTTTAGTGCCTTCCAAGTCGCCCAGTTTTCTGTGTGCCCAGAGACAACTCCTATGATCCTATCATATTATTGGATAGTTTTGGGTTATTATATGCCAAATTCAAGCAATTCTGGCCAAACATGTCATTTTATGTGGCTCCCTAGATGCTGGACTACAACTTCTATATTTGGGTTGCTGTGAGTTTTTTGGACTGTTCCAGAGGCACTCTTTCCTGACATTTCACCCACATCTATGGCAGATTCCTCAGAGGTTGTGAGGTCTGTTGGAAAGTAGGCAAGTGAGGTTTATATATCTGTGGAATGTCCAGGGTGGGAGAAATAACTCTGCTGGAGGCAAATGCAAATGTTGCAATTGGCCACCTTGATCAGTATGAAAGGCATTGCAGCTTCAAAGCCTGGCTGCTTCCTGCCTGGTTAAATCCTTTTTTGGGAGGAGTTAGCTGGCCATGATTGATTCTTGACTGGAATTTCCCTGCTTTTTTAGTCTTGCTCTTTATTTACTGTCCTGATTTTAGAGCTTTTGCTAATACTGGTAGCCAGATTTTGTTCATTTTCATGGTTTCCTCCTTTCTATTGAAATTGTCCATATGCTTGTCAATGACTTCAATGACTTCTATGTGTAGTCTGACATGGTGGTTGTTAGACTGGCCCAGTGTTTGTGTGTCCAGATTGGTTCATCAGTTGCTCTGCTATGGCTGACTTCTCTGGTTGAATTAGTTTGCAGTGCCTTTCATGTTCCTTGATTTGTGTTTGGGCAATGCTGCGTTTGGTGGTCCTTATGTAGCCTTGTCCACAGCTGCATGGTATGTGGTAGACTCCTGCAGAAGTGAGAGGATCCCTCTTGTCCTTTGCTGAATGTAGCATTTATTGGATTTTCTTGGTGGGTCTGTAGATAGTTTGTAGCTTGTGTTCCTTCATCAGCTTCCCTCTGCAGCTAGTGGCTCCCTTGATGTACGGCAAGAACACTTTTCCTCTGGGTGAAGCTTTGTCTTTCTCTCATGGCTTGTTCTTGGTCTTGCAGCTCTTCTGATGTCTGTGGTGGAGTCTCCATTGGTCTGTAGAGCCCAGTTTAGGTGGTTCAGTTCACCTTGGAGAAGGTGGAGTTCGCAGATACTTTTTGCACAGTCTTCCAGGGCTTAAATTGTACTTCTTTTTTTTACTTGGGTGATGGTTGGAGTTTTTATGTTAAGTATCTATCTGTGTGTGTAGGTTTTCTATATTCCTCATCATTAGACATCATGAATGGAAATTATGGAAGTTGGGAGTCAGTATATCTGGAAAGCTACAGATTGTTCTGCTCAGTCAGGAGAGTGGATCTTGAATTTAGATACAAGGCTTGTGGTTTTGAAGTTTGACTTTAAAATGTCCTTTTATCTTTCCCCAACCTCAGAGCCACAAAGGCTGTTGGGCTGGGATTCCTATGAGTCCCAGTTAGCATGGCAGATAATCAAAAGTGATGGGTATTGTTGCTGAGTAACTGGGTAAAAGAGCACCTACCACTGTATAAAAAATATAGTTGACCCTCTATATCCACAGGCTCTGTGTCAATAGGTTCAACACCCTTTGAAGGCAACCATAAGGTTGATGTGGCCCTCAGTGAAAATGTGTGTGATGTCCCTGATCTAAAGGGAGATTGAATCTTCAGCAATGATGCAATCAGCTACAAAGCAGGAAACTCTTGCCCTACCAGATAATTTCCATTTGCCATCTGCTTTTAATGGTCCAGGAAAATTCATCTAGAATAAGATAAATGGCTAATAGTCACGCAGACTATATGCTGCTGCCAAGATCAGAGGCTGTATGTTGCTGAATAGCAGCTGCCAGGGAACAAGAAGACACCAAGGCAACAGCCCTCGCCCGTTGCGTCCAGAGACCTCTATCTTACCACAATAAGAAACAGGATTCTGGACTAAATAGGCTTTTGTTTGATCCGGCTGGTCTCTTATTATTTATTTTGTTTGTGAAAAAGAAAATTACAGCACTAAGAGTGGAGTCTTGAACAACCTGTTATCTTGTTTGATGATCTCTTCTTACCGTTTGGGAATTAGGGTGTGCCTCCACACAGTAGAATTAGTACAACAGTGCCATGGATTTTGAAGAGGCATAAACAGAGGGCGAAAGGGAGAAATGTACCAAGAGGAAGGCGCATTAAGCAAACCCTTGTCTGGACTGCCTTCTATATGGAGATCTATGTCTTCATTGTGAAAGACCATGCAGATCCAGAGGTCTCTGCAGTCACTTACAGACCCACTGCCAAGACTCTGCCCTTGGAAGACAATTAGACTTGGTTACAAGAGATCACCTATATTTTAGTAGGGTCAGTGCAGTTTGTCACCATTTTAACTGCCATGCCTCAATGCTATGGCATCCTAGGAATTCTAATTTGGTGATGCACTAGCATTATTGGCAGAGAAGTCTACAGTAGTTCTGTTTCTTACTCTAGAGTAAAAGATGCTTGACTGCAGGCATTGGCAGGTGCGCACACTTTCTGGGCCTGAACACCACATATGCACTCTCTTTACAAGGCAAGGAGTCAATTTCTGTTTCTTACTCTAGAGTAAGAGGCGCTTGGCTGCAGGCACTGGCAGGCGCACACACTTTCTGGGCCTGCACGCCACAGACACACTCTCTATTCAAGGCAAGGAGGTGCTTGGCTGCAGATGCGAGCACTTTCTCTCCCAGGCTACACCATGTCAGCCATACACACACTCTTCAAAGCACTTTAAGTAGGCTTCCGACTTCCAGATAAGGAAGAGCAATGACCTCTTGGAAGAGGAGAGTAGTTTTCAGGGAATGGGAGTTTACTTTTTGTTTGCTAGGGGTTTAATAAAGAAGATTGTGATGCCAAAAAACAGGCCAGGAGCCAGGACTCACTCCCACTTGCTTTCGTGTCAAACTGATTTTCGTACCAAGAGGGGCTTTCCTGTTACATGCTCCCAAAGTACCGAAAGAAACTAAGGAAAGGAGAAATGAATTCCATGCACAACTCTAGTCTACAGATCTTGTAAATTACAACTTCCATTATTCTATAGCACTGACCCATGGTAGTTAAAGTGATGACAAACTGTGTTATTTACTGCTTTGGGTCTCTTTCTACAGAAAAAAAGAGTATAAATAACCTCAGTTAACACACAGGAATGAACAGACACTGGATATGTGTTGTTTCTCATTGCTTGAACTTAGATCCCACTAATATTATACTCCACAGTTTACCATACGATAAACTATATATTGACTTGATACAAATATTAAAATGTAGTAATTAAATAAAGCAAATAAAGACAAACATATATTTCTGCTAAAACCGATTTTAATTAATAGTTGTTACAATAGTTATTATTAATTAAAATCAGAGGGTTTTTTTAGCATAAATATAAGTTTACCTTCATTTGCTTTTAGTTACTATACTTTAATCTCCGTATCAAGTCAATGCATGGTAAACTGTATGGTATGGTAAACTGTGGAGTATAATGTTAGTTGGATCTAAAATTAATGAATATATAATATATAAATTATATATATTTATTATTATAGTTATTTAGGGCCCCCGGTGGACAGTGGGTTAAATTGCTAAGCTGCTGAACTTGCTGACCGAAAGGTTGGCGGTTTGCACCTGAGAAGCAGGGTGAGCTCCCACTCTTAGCCCCAGCTTCTGCCAACCTAGCAGTTCAAACATGAAAATGTGAGTAGATCAATAGGTACCGCTCCAGTGGGAAGGTAATGGCTCTCTATGCAGTCATGCCGGCCACATGACTTTGGAGGTGTCTACGGACAATGCTGGCTCTTATTTCCACTTACAAATGGAAATAAGCCTCCCCCCCCCCTGAGTTGGACACAACTAGACTTAATGTCAAGGGAAAACCTTTACCTTATTATGTTATTATTATTATTATTATTATTATTATTATTATTATTATTACTACTACTACTACTACTACTATATTTATTCATACCCCACTTTATCTCTCCTGAAAGAGCCTCCAAGTGGCTTAACATAAAAGCATTAGTACACAATTTAAAATATACAAATACACAAACATTAAAACAGAATTAAATATAAACAGTATTAAAAATCATAGTTAAAAAACATTCAAACATTCCAGTGCACCTTCTCTGAAAGCCTGTCTGAATAAAAAGGTAAAAGTATTAAGCCGCTCTGAGTCCCTTTTGGTAGCAGGATATAAATAAAGTTATTATTATTAATTATTATTATTATTAATTATTATTATTATTATTATTATTATTATTATTTCTTTGATTTTTTTTCCTGGCTGCTTGAGAGTTGTTTGATCTCCAGTTAGCTGAGAGTCTGCTGGGTAACAACAATTAATAATAATCCCCTGCTCCAGACAGGAGGGCAAATAGCATTAAAGGAGTGAAAAGAAACCAGGTGGGGGATCTCTGTCTATTTTGGATTCTTCTCCAAAAAAAATGCAAGTGGACACTTTTTAAAAAGACATGAGCAATACCAAATCTAGTTTGGCCTTAAAAGGCATACGAAATAAACATAGCAACCAGTCAAAACAAAACTAAATTGTGACTAATCCACGTTGCAAAACTAAGATTTTGGAATATTTTTATAACATTGGGCTATAGCCAAGGGGCGCACAGAGGCCACCGCGTGCTCTCACCCTCTAATCCTTTCTGTAATTAACACATTAATCCTGCCTAAGTGTATTAAACTGTCTCTTACCTGGCCTCTGTGCTCAAAACAAGCCTGTCTGGGCTACTTTGCGGTCAGCTGGCTCCTCCGTGGGTGTCAAACATATCCCATGACCTCTGGACAGAGGACCAGTTTAGCACACCTTGAGGATTCTACCTTCAATCCAGAGTCCTTGGGGGATATTAGACTACAATGCCTATCAACCCCTATTTGGCATGGCCTTTAAGAAATATAGGAGTTGTAGCTTAATTGGCTTTCTTGAGGTGCATCTACACTAGGCATGAGCAAACTGCAGCCTTCCAGATGCTTTGGACTTCAATTCCCACAATTCCTAACAACCTCAGGCCCTTTAAGGAAGGTGTCCGAGGCTATTAGGAATTGTGGGAGTTGAAGTCCAAAACACTTGGAGGGCCGGAGCTTGCCCATGCCTGATCTACACTGTAGAATCAACGCAGATTGCCACCCCTGCCATAGCTTAATGCTATGGAATCCTAGGATTTGTAGTTTGGTGAGGCACTGAGAAGGCTAAAGACCCTTTAAAACTACAGCTTCCATGAGTGCACTGTAAAATGGCAAAATCAAGGTTTCTTTTTTAATTAAAGAAATTCAAACCATGGATGGTAAAATCTTTGGATGAAGTGGGCTGACCGTATTTTAGGGTTCGAAAACCCTCTCAGGGCCTACAGACACCACAAGGGGGTTGTATAGAGCTTCGTATGGATGATAGGCTATATTTTACATTTCCCAAACTCATTTTATGCTTTTTTGGGGGGTTTTGTTTGTGTGGAAATTAACAATCCAAGAGTTAGAATTTTTTTTACAGTTGCCTGGATAGAATGAGAAAACGGGCATTTGTAACTGGGTTGTTGTAGGTTTTTTCGGGCTATATGGTCATGTTCTAGAGGCATTCTCTCCTGACTCTCCTGAGGATGCTTGCCATAGATGCAGGCGAAACGTTAGGAGAAAATGCCTCTAGAACATGGCCATATAGCCCCCCAAAAAACCTACAACAACCCAGTGATTCCGGCCATGAAAGCCTTCGACAATACACTAAGCATTTGTAACTTTCCCTAAAGTTGTTTGGTTCTCCTCTGCCTTTCTGTGATTAATCCCATATTTTCCTAAAGCAATAAGGAAGTTCAAACATATTGCAAATATGGCCATGTTGCAGAAGCATTCTCTCCTTATGTTTTGTCCACATCTATAACAGGAATCCTCAGATGTTGAGGGGTCTGTTGGAAACTAGGCAAGTGGAGTTGATATGTCTATGGAATGTCCATGGTGGGAAAAAGAACTCTTGTCAGCTTGACGCAAGTGTGAATGTTTTAATTGGCCATCTTGATTAGCATTGAATGGCCTTGTGGCTTCAAAACCTGGATGGTTGCTGCCTGGGGATCCTTTGTTGGGAAGTGTTAGTTGGCCCTGATTGATTCTTGTCTGGAATTCCTCTGGGGTTTTTTTTGTTTATTTGTTTTTTTAGTGTTGCTCTTTATTTACTGTCCTGATTTTAGATGGGTTTTTTAATATATATATATATACACACACACACACACACACACACACACATATATATACATATATATACACATACACTGGTAGCCAGATTTTTCTCATTTTTATGGTTTCTTTCTTTCTGTTAAAATAGTCCACATGCTTGTGGATTTAAAATTCTTTTATGTGTACACTAACATGGTAGTTGTTAGATGTGGGCAAAACATCAGGAGAGGATGGTTCTGGAACATGGCTATACAGCCTGGAAAACTTAGAGCAACCCAGTGATTCCGGCTATGAAAGTGTTTGACAACATATTGCAAATATGTTACTGTTCTTCTGGGCTGTCAATTTGTTATTTTCAATGCTGGAAGAGCCTGGAAGAAACTTCCCCTGGCTCTGTTGGACTGCAACTCCGATACTGGTTGGGGATTATTGGGTTTGTTGTAAAGCATATTTAGAGCATGCTGGATTAAGACAGCTGCTTTAGAGCCCATAGTTCAGTATAAATACATGCTTTTTGGCATCTTCTCAAATTGTCAGAAATTTGGTGCCAAGTCTGGGTCAACAGGTGGTAGATGTGCTCCAAAAAGAAAGCCATAGTCTCAAATATTAACACAGGTATAAGTCAATATTGACAGGTGATCAAGGCTTCTGCTGAAGTATATGAGCAATCTCTAGTGCCCTACAAGAGGAATGTTATTCCCGATTACATATCATCGAGTCACTTATCATTGCAGGAGTTGCAAATAATACTTTGAGGGCCCAGCCCTAGAAGTAATGAGATCTTGTGATGCCAATAGGCATTTTTAACCTCTCCTTTTCCATTCAATTTGAACAAAAAAGGAGCCAAAATAATGCAACCCAGAAGCACGGAAACCATCCAAACAATCCTAGAAGCTGGTACTCACGTGCCCAGCACCTCCCGGAATTCATAGATCTCCCGGATGTCTTCTGCCCTCTTCTTCCAACTGGGCCCATCGTCTTCCAAGGGCATGGTGCTTTCTGGGTCTAAAGACTGTGCCACCCAGTCCCCAGCTGGTCTGCAGCAGAGGCAAAGGCAAGTGTGGCAAACTCAGGGCCTGGAGAGGTAAGAAAGGATAAAGACCATCAAAACAAGGGAAGCTGAAGACAGGAAGAACTGCCTAAGAGATGAGGAAAGCGCCCCCTCTCTTTGTATGTATTTGATAAAAGCAGAAGAGTGATTGCACATTTAAGCTCAGCTCATCGCATTTATTGTATATACTCATGTATAAGTCGGCTTCAAATATATGTATAAATTGAGGTCAAGTTTTTGGGCAAAATTATGGATTTTATACGATCCATGGATAAGTCGATAATTATTCTATGGAGAGGGGAAGTGCCACTGCTATTCTGCAAGCTGGCTATTCAAAAAAGCCAGAAGCAGTGCTGGAGTGGAGAGGGTTGGTACTTGATTGTTGGAAATAGCAACCTTCTTCAAGCCTCCTATACTAGTTATTTGTTATGAATATAATTCAGATTGCTTACTGCATTGTATATTCATTGGTATGCAGTTTTCCTTAACTCTATGTTGTGGGAGGGGCTGCAGACCATGTGATCACATCTGGGACTGTTCAGACTCAGACTCCATTTTAGAAACAGTATGCTTTATAGAAGTCTGTAGAAAACATGATGCTTTAGGACAGGGGTCCTCAAACTAAGGCCTGGATACGGCCCTCCAAGGTCATTTACCCAGCCCTCACTCAGGGTCAACCTAAGTCTGAAACCACTTGAAAGCACGCAACAACAACAACAATCCTATCTCATGAGCCAAAAGCAGGCCCACATTTCCCATTGAAATACTAATCAGTTTATATTTGTTAAAATTGTTCTTCATTTTACTCATTGTATTGTTTTAGGTGTTTTTTGCACTACAAATAAGATATGTGCAATGTGCATAGGAATTCATTCATTTTTTTCAAATTATAATCCAGTTTGAGGGACTGTGACCTGGCCTTTAGTTTAAAAAGTTTGAGGACCCCTGCTTTAAAAAGACGGAGACTCTATTAGACTCTAAGAATAGAGAGGTGTTTTAGACTTTGGACTGTTGATTATAAGAAAGATTTCTTATGTTATCTGCACAGAGAAACTACTCCAAATTCTATCTGCAACTGGATTGATAAGCAGTATACCTGTACGCCAAATGCATGAAGTTTGTGAGTAAACCAACTATGTTACTTTTAACGAAGACTACTTATTTTTGTCTCTTGAGAGCATGAGTTAAACCAAGATGTTTTAAGGGAGAGCAGATGTTTTTGGGCAACTGAAACACTGCTATATGTTTTCTGTGCATTGGCATATCTTTGTTCCTAACAGTTCAAAGAGATATCTAGGTATATCAGTCTAACAACCAAGAAACCTAATTGTCTTGCATGAACACTAGTGGATATTTACCACTAGGAGAAAGTTGACTCAAGTGAGTTTTTAATTCTTCTCAGGAAGATCATAGTTTTGACCCACCACCTTGCTGCTGTTGGAGTCCAGGGGACAGCTTTAAATTGGCTGTCCTCCTTTCTTCACAACCGTGGACAGCAAGTGGAGAGGGGAGGCCTGGTCTCTGAGAGGTCCCCTCTATCTTGTGGGGTTCCTCAGGGGGCCATTCTCTCCCCTCTGTTGTTTAACATCTATATGCGACCACTTGCTCAGCTGGTTCGAGGTTTTGGGCTTGAGTGTTACCAGTACGCCGATGACACTCAGCTGGTGCTGAAGATGGAAGGCCGACCGGACTCTGTACCCGATTGTTTCCATCAGTGCCTCGAGGCCATGACTGGATGGCTGCGTGCCAGCAGGTTGAGGGTGAATCCAGCAAAGACGGAGATCCTATGGCTGGGTCGACCGGGCAGTGGGGATATCCAGCTGCCTACCCTGGATGGTGAGGCGCTACGCCTGTCATCATTGGTAAAGAGTCTGGGAGTCCTTTTGGACCCTCTGCTGACGATGGAGGCCCAGGTCTCCGCCGTTAGCAGAACTACCTTTTTTTATCTGCAACAGGCTAGACGGCTGGCCCCCTACCTGTCCAGGGACAACTTAGCTACGGTGATCCAGGCTACGGTCATCTCAAGTCTGGACTACTGTAACGCCCTCTACATTGACCTTCCTCCATCGGTTATCCGGAAGCTCAAGTTGGTACAAAATGCAGCTGCTCGGCTTCTTGTGGAAACTCCGATGAGATGCCACATAACACCAATCTTACTGCAGCTGCATTGGTTACCAATTGAGCACCGGATCACTTTCAAAGTGATGGTACTCCCCTTTAAGGCCTTGCATGGTCTGGAGCCGATGTATCTGAGGGACCGCCTCACCCCTACCAACCCCAGAGATCCCTCCGTTCTGAGGACCAAGATTTGTTGGAAATTCCCAATGTCAAGACCTTGCGTATAACAGCAACCAGATGCAGAGCCTTTACAGCAGTGGCACCATCACTCTGGAATACTCTGCCACCTGAAGGGACTTATCAGCTTTCTGCAGGTTATGTAAGACATATCTGTTTCGACGGGCCTTTGATCTTTGATATTGCTGTTTTTAAATTGTTTTAAATTGTTTTAAAATTGTGTTAGATTTTAGCCTGTTCTTGTACGCCGCTCCCAGCCCCGGGGGAGTGGCGGCATGTAAGTTTGAATAAATAAATAAATAAATAAATAAGTTTACAAAAGATTACAATCTGTAACAAGGCCATGCCTTTCCAAAAGATTCCTGGTTTTCCCAACAGGTTCTGAATAGCTGTTTTCCAAAAGGTTATGAAGATTCCATTTTCCAAAATGATTCACCTTTCAGAAAAGGGGACTGCAAGATGTAGGAGTCCCAACAGCGAAGTGTAGTAGTCACAACAACCCATGGATAAGTAGACCCAGGATTTTGAATAAAACTTCTAATCTTAAACAGAACATGAATATATTGGGCATATGAAGAAAGATCGCCTTCCAGGAAGAGAAGGGCTTACCTAGTCAGCCTTTGGAGAAATAACTTGCATGAAAATGCAGCTGAGCAGGACTCAGATTGTTGTTGGGCCTGTTCTTGAAGTGGCCCCTGGTTAACCCCTTAAGGGCTGCTATGAACCATGGACCACCAGCAAAAAACCTCTGTGGTACCAAAGCCATGGAAATCATAGACTCATCCAAAGCCAATGTCACATGGACTTTAAAGGTTGGGAGAGATGTGGGGAATAGTATTTAAGGACTTCTTTTCTTTGGGCTCAGCTCACCTCTCCACTTTGCAATTTCTCTCCATCCGTAAGCATACTGCTCAGACTTTATCCTGTTTGGTAATATTACGGCTGTCCCTATGGCAACAGCTCTTGCTCCTGCAACACCGAGAGAAACAGCTCCTTCCTCTGCCCGACCCACTGTCTGCTGGGGTGAGAGAGACCTGCTCATCATATATTTTCATAGGTGGCCACTTGCACTGGACTCCCCTCCCCTCTTCTCCAGAGATTTAGGGTGCATCTACACTGTAGAATTAATGTAGTTTGACACCACTTTAGTAACCACAGCTCAATGCTATAGAATCCTGGGATCTTAAGTTTGCAATTGGTAGTTAGGAATTGGTTGTTAGGCTGTTAGGAATTGTGGAAGTTGAAGTCCAAAACACCTGGGGGCTGTAGTTTGCCCATACCTGTTCTACAGTGTAGATCTCTGTTTCTCAACCTTACAAATGCTACAACCCCTTAATACAGTTCCTCATGTTGTGGTAACCCCCAACCATAACATTATTTTCGTTGCTACTTCATAACTGTAATTTTGCTACTGTCACAAATCGTGATGTAAATATCTTATATGCAGGATGCATTTTCATTGACTGGACCAAATTTGGCACAAATATCCGAGACACCCAAATTTGAATACTGGTGGAGGTGGAGGGGGGGACTGATTTTGTCATTTGGGAGTTGTAGTTACTGGGATTTATAGTTCACCTACAATCAAAGATCATTCTGAACCCCAGCAAGGATGGAATTGAACCAAGCTTGGCACACAGAACTCCCATGACCAAAAGAAAATACTGGAAGGGTTCGGTGGGCATCAACCTTGAGTTTTGGAGTTGCAGTTTACCTACATCCAGAGAGCACCGTGGACTCAAATAATGATGGATCCGGACAAACTTGGCATAAATACTCAATATGCCCAAATGTAAACACTGGGGAAAATAGACCTTGACATTTGGGCGTTCTGGTTGCTGTGATTTATAGTTCACCTACAATCAAAAAGCATTCTGAACCCTACCAGCGATAGAATTGAACCAATCTTGGTACACAGAACTCCAATGACCAGCAGAAAATACTGTGTTTCCTGATGGTCTTTGGTGAGCCTTTTGACACCCCCTCGCAATCCCTGTAGAGTTCTCGAATCCCAGGTTGTGAAACACTGGTGTAGATGGACACATTACCAGTGTTCCTTCCCTCAGACATAAGCAAGTACTGACTCTGGTGCTTTGACAAAGACTTTGTAGGATGAATGCATTTATTTCTATCTCGAGAGCCTGACTTCTGCATGAACTGTGTTGCACTGCCGAAGGCTGAAAACCCAACTATCCATTTTTCTAAAATACTGACGTCATAAAACATTCTCTTTGGAAAGATTTTGACAGTAGAGTTACATAATGCCGTTCCTCTCCCACTTCACCCCATAGACAAAGAAAGATCCGCTTTCAGCGAAGTTCTCGGAGGGCAATCGAAGTTCCACTTGGCTCAGATTCCTGCAATACAAGCAGCCGTGCTCAATGTACAGGACAGGGATACCCTGTAATATTCGGCCGGACAAATGGGACCAGGGTGTTTGCCCTTTGAAAAAGAGGAGGCAGTATTGCTTCCTTCCCAGTAAGATTTACAGTCAAGGGACACACTTCCATCCCCAATAAAAGCTAGCATTTACAAAGGAAGGGTTTCTACCTGTATCCTGAGATACGAGCTTTCCAGCCACAAGGATATGGAAAAGAATTGGAAGAGACCCCAAAGGTTATCTAGTCCAACTCCATTCTGCCATGTACACTTTATTTTTTTTAATATTCCGCTGTTCTCTACAGCATTTACATAAATAGACAAATATTCAATGCCATTACAATCATATAC